AGCATTTTGCCGTCAGAGAAATCGCGGGGTTAATTCCGACGAACTGTCGAACTGACGCGGGGAACGAGTTTCGAGCGCGTTTCAACGACTTTACCGAAATTAGGTAGCGCCGATACCGATTGCAAATCGTTTATCTCGAGATTAGCGCTTTCGATCGGGCGGAACGACTTTTCCGGTATAGGCGCGCGCGATACGGTCGACAGATCGAGAGATAAACAACCGAAGAGCACGAGTGTATCTGCACAGGCCCCGGCGCGCAACGAGAGCGCGGCCAAGTGACAGACTTGACGGCCGTCGATCCGCGAAGCGCGCGAAACGCGCGAACAGAACGGACGCGAGAGAACGGACGTTCCGGCCTTGGCAGGTGGATAATGTATGCAGCGGCGGGCTAAACCGCGCGCGACTTTCATTTATTAATGAAACCGACGTTAATGACCGGTCCGTCGAGTCGGCGAGGCATGAGATCGCGGATTCCGCTAGGCAGGAAAAATGTGGACACATCCGCACGCGCGTACGTCCCGCGAGACCGCGTGCGTGCGTGCGTGCGTGCGTGCGTGCGTGCGTGCGCGCGAGCACGGTAGACACGCTGAAAAATTCGGGAGAAAGCAGGACTCGTTTCGATCTCTGTCAGAAAATTCGCCGGTGCCGTGTCGCAACGCGGCGGCACGTTTCACGTAATAGGCAGATAAGTTGGCGTGTCAGCCGCGCCGGATAGATCCGCGCGCACGACTATTCATTTATCGATGCGAATGGATCGCGAGCGACTGAGATCACTCTGCCTTGTCGATCGTCATCGACAACGCGCGCTGCAGGTAAGCGGATCGATCGACAAGCGCTCGGGGAATTGTTCCTCGAGACGAGATTCACGCTGGACCGCGGGCACGCGCGGTCGCGTTCTCCGGGCGCGCGCGCGACACGCTTGTTCAAGCTACAAAAAGTGGCGTGGCGCGCGTTCTTTTTGCATCTTTCGCGCGTGGATTATACAACAGCTTTTACCGATTGCGTTAGTGTATACTGTAACCGGCACACCGGTCGGCCAGCCGTACGATTACCTCGTTCGCTAGATTTACGCACGATTCCACAAGAAACGTATATATACCAGCATCTATCACCGCGCGAAACGATAAAAATAACGTTAATTGACCGTATGACACACGGTCCGATTTGTATCTTGCCTGAAAGTTGTCCGTAATCTAGAACAGCGTATAGCTTTCTAATGACCTATTAATTTAATAAGCGTATATAATTTCCAAAATGAAAAAGAAAACCTTTTCTTTTTAGGTCAAAATTTTAACTCGCGACAGAAAAGGCCCAAGAGCGAAGAGCGTAAATACAAGCTCATTGCGATTCCTGAAATACATCAGATATAATTGGGAGGATAATTAGGGGCAAATTGAAATTAAAATTAGACACCCGCCTGCAGTTAAAGAGCAGTTTATCATACACCACCAATTATTGTACTAATTTTACCCGTAATAATTACTAGTAGTATTTCGCGCTCCTTTTTTCGCCTTCGAAATAAACTCTAATCGTTTGTAATAACAAGTTAAGTTTCTCGCGATATCAATTTACCGCAGTTTCCTGCACTTTGAGAGTTAGATCGATAATGTATTGCTTATACGTGACGCATGAATTAGGAACTCAATACGTAGACAGATTTGTTTATGTTTAACAGATTAGTTTAATTGGATCAGTTAGTTTAATCAATCCGGTTTCCAATGAAAGTAACCGGGTTCTTTGACGAAAACCCGTTGAAAACCAAAACAGGTAAATCTATCAAGATCAATTGAAACATTTATGAGAATATTTAAACACGCAATATATGTAATTAATATATATATACATAATTAATATGTCCATTAAATATCACTCAGAGTTACTGCACAAAACAAATGAGTATAAGAGATGTATCGGAATCGAGTATAATACTGATTAATTATTACTGATTAATAAACCGAGTTTCTTGAAATACAAGAGCAAATATAATTACTAATAATAGGTTAGAGATTATACGAGTGTCGTTGATAAAAAAAAAAATATTGGAAAAATACTACCTCACCGAGTTAAAAAAAAACTGCAAGTTTTTGCTCCGCCCGCAAGATATATCTGATATGCATTCTATTAAGCAATTGATCCTTCTTATTTTTCGATTATGTCATCGGTATGTTTACATGTCCTGCAAAATATTTTGCGATACCGACGATCTCGTAGCGCGTTTCCACACGAGCAAATTAAACAAAATATGTCGAAGAAAAAGAACCATTTCTGAAAGTAAAAATCGTTAACCTATAAAATTGACTGTTATTTTAAGGAACAACAGTGAGCCGTAATTAATGATGCTAGATAAACGACAACACGTCATTGGGACTTAATATATGCCGCCATATTTATCGTATCTAATAATCTGCGCTGTATAAATTATTATTACTTTTCCTGTAATACCGCATTTTTTTTAAAGATCTAATGAGTTCTGCGCAGTAAAACGCTACTGAATTAAAACAGGAAAAACAACAACAAAAAATAAAATTATAACTGCAGAGATGTCTATTTTATTATTAGATGAGTCACTTGGAAATATAAGTTAATATGTTTTTCGGATATTATTTCTTCTGACATCAATTACATGTATAAGCAGTGATACATTTAAATAATGATCAATTTTTGAATGTATAATAAATCTTTTTTTTGGTTTTATTCATTAAAAAATTGGCGCTGAATCTCACAACTTTAGTCGAATAAAAAGGAAGGAGCGCAGAAAAAAATTCTCATCATTTTGTAGGAAAATTTTTTGTATCACGAGCAGTGCGTCGCGAGGAATAACGTCGGAATTTCGGTCTTGTGGCATCCCGCACGCGCGCGCACACGAGACATCGCGTGTTACGTGTCGCGTATCGTGCGATAATTAATCCTACCACACACCATTGTACGTTACGTGGCGTTATATAATGTAAACTCGCGCGCGATATACATACGGCGGCGACGGGATTTTTGTTGTGGAAGCTCCATTATCTCATTTTGACGCGGTGTCGTCTGGAGCCGAAAATGGCAGGCACGGTCTTTGATTAGTATACACGGTAATATGATTCAACCACACGTTACGTCTTTGCTAATAAGTAGAGTGTGTCACGTCGAGAGAGCGAGAGAGTGTGAGCGAGGAAGAAAGGGAAAAGAAGAGGGAAAGAGAGAGAACGCGCGGGAAGAAATTGAAACTTCGTAGCTTCGCGAAGCGCTACACGAAGAGACTGGCGCTGCTAAAGTATTTAACTAGACGCAGGATTGAAAATAATTATATTGTTTTGGCAATTTAAATTATTACAATTATGGATATTCAAGTTGAAACTGCTGAAAAGTGGGAATTTTTGCAGCGTTATCGCTTGCCGGGAATTAAAATGTAGTGAGCGATAAGTATAGTTTAAGTATCACAGCAGTTATAAGGTATAGTTGTAAGTGTCAGTTCACAATGAGGATTTTAAGCCCTAAGCAATAAGAAATAGACCAATCGTAGTCGAATATGAGGAGAATAATCGATTAGTCAATCGATTGGTATCTTACGGCGTAAGACTTAAAGTCTTTATTGTGGACCGACACTAAAGAAAATTTGTTAAAGATTAAAAAAAGAAGATACGCGAAATAAAGATAATGCAAATTTTGCGAACGTTTGAAAATTCAGATCTTCGGCGCGCAGAGTTTGCAGAAGGTGTATAGAAAATTAACATGGAAATATTATTAGGCATCGAGAGGCCAGCCTCTCCGACCGTATTTGGCACTTCTTCTACTTATTCGTGTTATCCAAAACCTCTATATTTGTCTCGCGGGTCGAGGCGCGTAAAAGCCGAAGGAGCATCATCGGCTTTCCGTCCACGGGCAGATCGCCGGGCGCGGTGATCGTAATAAACGCGCGGAATCTCCCGCTGACGCACTTGCGGCGTCGAACCGTCGACTTGTTGTGTGACGAGCGAACATCCGCTAATCGCGCAACGAAATGAACGCAGAGGAGCGCGACGACGCGGCTCGCATCGTGAAACGTTGACTCAAGGCTCCCTCCGATACATAAGGATGGCCTAACGACTATAAATACGTTCATTAAATGCTCCCACAAGTCTGTCGCGAACGGGTGGAACGTGAATCGAATTCAAATCGCGCGCTCGTGATGATTCACAAGAGAAGAGGCGCGGTAAGAAGGAAGGAAGGAAGGAAGGAAGGAAAATATATTTTGTGTGCGTTCTCGATGCCGTGCGATTGATCGATGATCGGAAATAATTAAAACGTCGCGCGTTGGACAGCTATTGCTCGAAACTATACATCTCGATGATATTTCAATTCAATTTACGACCTCGCGACCATTGAAATCCGATATACTATAGCATTTTTTTATTGACCGCCAATAACGAGGAGATAGATCGATACAACTGCGGCGGGTTTCGTATATCTCGATTTATGTCATAGACGAATAGTATTTTCTTGGTATCTATATCATAAAAAATTGAACACAGCGATATTGCACCGACCCTTGACGCTCGGTTTCATCAACAACAAAAATAATTTATTCATAGAAAAGCAATTTTCTTTTCTACGTTACTGTTTGGAAAAAGAATGCAAATACGTTTCTATTTGACAAATATGCAAATTACTCGATAAGCATTCATTATATTTATATGCTATGTTGATATGCTATAAAAATTATATACCAGTTTTGTAAATTAAATTATTGCATTATATTGTTATAATAATGTAGCTTTTTAACGTCAATTATTTAATATTAATATTTCTTCATATCAATTTAATAATATCATCATATTACAATTTTTTCGTATACCTAAGAATTGTAATATAATTCTGTATTACAATTTTTTATCAAAATCTTAGTTATATTATTATTTTCTTAAAAGACCATTTTTATCATCAGTATCTTTAACATTGTCATTCGCCGTTGATGGAACTGGATCAACACCGAGAGGTCGACATTAACCGTGCGAGGAAGAAAATCTCACTATACTTACTAATTATCGGAAGATCACGCGCCGATTGCGTCCCCAACTGATCAACGAAGGGTTCGTCCAAAAATCGTAACACACACTATAATCGTGACACTCCGACGAAAGCGAAAGTGGTCTTCTTCCCTTCCTCTTACTGTCTTGTCTTCTATCTCCGAACGGTCGTCGTTTTTTATCGGAAAAACGAAGGGATCGGCACGACGGTGGTGATGATTTCGGCGATGATTCTGCACGAAAAATCGCAGAAGTTCTGCGTTATTTCGGCCTTCTCCGCAAGCGCGTGAAATTTATTTTTTCGACGAGGTTTTTCGGGAGATAACGATCAAAATAAAAAAAAAGAGGAATTGGAAGACAAAAGAAAGAGAGGAATAGAAAGGAAAAAGAGAGGAGCGTTATCGACCGTGTCGATATCAAAGCGACGAACGCACCGCCGTCGTGCCAACTCGCGGACTGGCGAACGTAACGCCGGTGCATTGCTTTTAACCGATTCGCCATATTGGTCCCTTCTACCGCCTCTCTCTCGCTCCATCTCCCTCCCTCCCTCCCTCTCTCTCTCTCTCTCTCTCTCTCGTTCTTTTCCTCTCCTTCCCGCTCGCGTCCTCCGGATCTCGTCGTGAGCCGCGCGCGACGTCGAGATTGTGGTTCACCTGCACACGGCTCCTGACGTCGTTCGCCACGGCGTGACGTCAGCGCGACGAGCCGACGATGAAGCCTAAAAGGCCGAACCGAAGTCCGACCAAGGAGTGCGAACATCCGCGGACAATGTCGCGAGCACTAACGAAATTTCCTAAATTTCGCGGCGACGAACACGTCCCGTCTTTCAATGTCGCGACACGCCAAGAAGAAAAAGCGCTCGTCTTCTACGTTCGTCCAACATTTGTTCGCGATCGTTCGCCAGCCTCCGGACGTCCGCGGCCCGCGACTCCGCGGACGTCCGGAGGGATTACGTCATGTCATGTCAGACGCGCATCTCGCGCGTCGTGCAAACAGTCAGTCTGCACTTTTTGACGCGGCTCCACGTGATCTTTCGTACCGTCACGTCGAGTATTCGGGTAAATACGATTGCACGTCGGATAATCCTATTTATCGAGTGAATTCTAAAAGAGGAAAGTGTCGTCACGATGCGCATTCGACGGTTCGCGGAATGCGAAAATATAAAGTTACGTAAATTTTACATTGAATCGGCTCGCTAATTTTAATAATAAAATGCACGGGGACATCATGTATATTAAAAAGCGAATAATTATCAGAAAAACAAGTCGCTACCGGCTTTTTTTTGTACATCCGCTCGACTTAACTGAACGTAATGTAAATATATTAGCTATTAAAATATATTTATTTTATATTAAAATTTTAATTATATATTAAAATGTATTATATTAATGTATTGTATAATGTATTATGTAATTATATTAATATATTATATATTATATGTATAATGTATATAATATATTAGCTACTTTTATAGATTTTTTTTTTTGGTAGATGTTTTACTTTATCTCTTTGATTTAAACTTCAGACATCGCTATTATCTAATTGAAAAGATTTTGACTGAAAAATGCGAAAGGCAACCGTTCAGAGATACATTTAGAAAGAAAAATTTTTCGTAAAAATTTCGTAAGATACTTGACATATCTGCTCCAAATTGCAGACGAGATGATTGTTACTAATAATGGAGCTTTCATCGCGATAACGCACATGACCGTCCGCCAGTTTTTTCTTTCAGTAAACGAAGAACATTATTATATTATCCGAAACAATAATGTCCTTCATCCTCTGTATCCATCCGACATGCTTCTTTTTGTTTTCTCAGATGAAACGTGCAAAGACGGAAAAATTTAATCAAGTTGCAATCTTTACGTATAAACGCGATTCATCTCAATTAAATAATTCTTGAGAGAACAACAATTCAAACAGAATAAACGCGTATATAAATGCAGAAAGATCTTAACTTGAATATTATATTCGTTATGAGATGAGCCGTCACATAGTTAAGGAATTCTCGTCCAAGAATTCATTTATCAGACTATTATTATTTTTATTTTACATAGCACCGTCATTTAGTCGATAGGATAACTTGACATCTCTTTGAGCATAATTAAATAATTAAATAATTGTGCTTAACAACTAACAATGATATGTCATCCTATCGTCTAACTAAACGATGGTAAACGCGAGGGTACTACGTATTGTAATCAAGATGTAAACACAGAAAGAGATAAGATACATGAGATATAGTAATATAATAACTTAGCAATTCGAGCAAATTAAAAATCGTTAAAAAAGCTCGAAGATATAGATTATATCGATAAATCTATCAGATATGGCAAATCCAGTCTTGGATACCTTAGTGCATCTCACCCATAGGCACAATACGTAAGAACACCGCCATAAAGCGTATAAAGTAGTTTATTTTTAACGTCGCTCGGTGCGGAGTTGCTATTTTGAGTTTGGACTTTCCACGGAAGGACCGGATATCCCGCCGAAGGCCAGACGAGGTTCAACGACACGGAGTAAGAAGTTCCGACAAGGAAGTTCCGACAAGGAAGTTCCGACCGTATGGGAGACAGATATTCCAGATTGCGAGAGCATGTGATCTTTGGACTCGGTAAAGGTATCAGCGCGAACAGAAGGAAATATATAGGCGTCCCGAGACTCGTCAAGGCTATCGTGAAATGATTACCTCCGATTCTCGTTTTGCAATTGACAGGAAAGGATCGCGAGATTAATTGTCGAGGACTGCCCCGGCCGCCGAGAGGGCAGTAAGCCAGGAAGGGTAGTAAATCAAATCTTATAATCAAGTCGGTATACAAGATATATCAAATTAAATCTTATCAAGTCGATATACAAGATATATCAAATTAAATCTTATCAAGTCGATATACAAAATATATCGACTTGATAAGATTTGATTTACTACCCTTCCTGGCTTACTGCCCTTTCGGCAGCCGGGGCAGTCCCCGACAATTAATCTCGCGATCGTTTTCTGTCAATTGCAAAACGAGAATCGGAGGTAATCGTTTCACGATAGCCTTGAGTCTCGGGACGCCTATATATTTCCTTCTGTTCGTGCTGATACCTTTGCCGAGTCTAAAGATCACATGCTCTCGCAATCTGGAAGAGCTGTCTCCCATACGGATTTTATATGGAAATTGATCATATAGCTTCAACGATCATCCAAGGGTATCCGTGCCAAAAAGAAAGGAGCAAACGATTTTATCGGAAATTCACGATGAATGCTCATTGAGTTTTAACTGCTACTGTATATATATATACATATATATACGCGTAGAGCATGAATCACGAGAAAAAGGCAATCATGCTAGCCAGTGGAGAAGCAAAAGGTATTATATTATAGTACACGGAGAGAATTTTTTTTTAATTTACCCTGCAAATCATGTTAATTATGGGACAATATAGTATTTAGGCAAATTTTACTGTGCACTACAATAAGATTTAGCAGTAAAATTTATTGTAGTGCACAGTAAAATTTACCTAAATACTATATTGTCTCACAATTAACATGATTTTCAGGGTAAATTTTAAAAGGAAAATCTCTCCGTGTACATCAGTAGAAAGATGCTGCACCTTCTTTCCGAATAAATTATAACATCCCACAAAAAACCAAAAATCGAATTTCTCAAGCAATTTAGAAAATCATCTTATCTTTGTTAATTCCAAGAATCTATATTGGATAAATGAGTTTTGACAAAAGTCCCCCAAACTCGAGACCAGGCATTGTCACGTCCCGCGCCCACGTTCTCTCGACGCGCGCCGGAACATTACGCCGGCACTATTTAGCGCAACACTCCGGTTTCTTAACTTTAATTTTGTAAGCGGCTTTTACGATCTGAAAAAAAATAATAACGTCAAAGTAACGACGGCCGGACGGTCGTGCAATTATATTCAGGAAGTGATCAATGTTGCATGACGTTTTTACGTAACGCATAAACAATGGATGCGCTAATCGATTTGACGTCTACCGCTAGGCCGTCATTAAATAGAACGTTACCGAGCGGGATTGCCATGGCGCGGTTGATCTTGCAAAATTATTTGCGTGCAAATAAAGGGAACATCCGCGAAGAAACATGTATACGTTCCAAAATTCTACATTATTGATTAATTAATATTTCATATATAGGTAATAAGTTTTTAGATGACTAATGTTCCTCGTGTTTCAAGATCATTTTTATATCTATTGTCGCGTATGAAAAACATACGCGTTAAATGACTTTTTACAATTACGAGAAAAGATTGAATTATAAATTGTATACTCAATACAAAGAAGCATTCATTCAGCATGAATAAAATCTAGTGTAAGTTAACGGATGATGATACGAAAATCTATCCGTTTTCATATTACAATAATTTAAAATTATTATTAGCTTGTCACTTAGTTATTAATTGTTTTAGGAAACGCGCATAGCTTCTTTATCCACAGCTTTATAACTATAATTAACTATAATTAACTTCTTGATCTTGACAAAACGAATGGTGTGTGAAGTTGGCACCCTCAAAACGAAATACTTCCATTTCGTCAAATCACTTATAATAATGCATTATGCATAGTCAACACAATCGATCAATGTCAAATTTCAGTTTATCATTGTCTTACGTGAATTAACAGGTCACAATATCAAGAAAAAGGTCGTATTTATCAGACAGGTTAATTCAGCGATTTGAATAAACGTCGTAAGATTCATAAGTAAGTATCGTTGTTATAACTTAATCGATGGAAACTTGCGACACAATGAAATCGCAAGAAATTTTATGAAATTTTCCGTTTTGTATTATTTAAAACGCAGAATTCCACTTAACCTTGCGATCGTTTGAACTTCGTTCGCGTATTATGTGATCGCGACGCATTGTATGTAAAATCGGCGCAATAATAAATTACTCAATATAATAAATTACCCGATACAATAAATTATCCATTACAACTAATATTATCGTAAGTCATTAAAATTCTAAATCAGTATAGGAAATCTATTGTACTTATACATCGGAAAGATCGATTTTGCTAAAGTATCTGATGATTTTAGCTAAACACAAATCTAAAATTAATTCTGTTACCAAATCTGTCACCAAATCATTATGTAGGACGCTCAAGCTGGTTACTAGAATGTCAAAACTTTTTGCAGTATTGCAAAATATTGATCGAGCGTCTTACTGGTCCTACATAATAATTTGGATAGTCCAAGAAAATTATTTTCAGAATTACTGCATTCAGCAAAAATTTTAAATACTTCAGCAAAATCGCTCTTTACATGTGTAATATATATATATATATATATTACACATATATATGAACACATTTAAGAAATTTAGACTTATCTTGATCACATTTATTGATAGAATAAAAGTCTATTGATAGAATAAATTTCTTAACTGTGTTCATAACGTAATCTAAAAATCTAATGATTAATATGAATACAATTGCATGCTAAGTAAACATGTAAATTAAATAACTACACTGTGTTACAGCAAAATTCATTCTGAAGTGCGACAATACGTTTTCCGAAGATTTTTTCATGCTGAACACGGGCGCCGTTGGCAGAATTTACTTAGCTCGTCAGGATTTTAAATAAATTGGAATAAGAGTGGCAAATAAAATGGCGTTTTTAGCCACTTTTAACATTTTTTTGCAGCAAAATGGAAATTGGTTTCTAAATAAACCCAACGCATCTGAAAGTAATTCAAGATCTTTCAAACGAACTTTAGTTCATAATTGCACGACTTTCTTTCATCAAGTTATTATTATTTCAATTTTAAACTTTCTATAAAATTTACAAGAAAGATAAATATGTACTTATATACGGAACGTGCACGCGCGCGTGTGTGTTGTGTGTGTGCATGTTTTTGCAGAGATCAAGACCCCGTGGTTCATCACTTCCACAGTAATTAATGACTCCAAACCCTCTCTATCGTATATGTGTGTGTTTTACGAGAGAGTCAAAGTACGTATGCTTTATTCAATTCAATGTGGCGGAATTACTCCAAAGTGCTTCTCAAGCAACTTTTTTCTTGGTTTCTATGTTTAAGTGATTTTGTCTCTGTGTGTATTAAGTTTATTAAAATGACAGAAGATCTAAAATTCAAACAGCCATAACTTGATGAAAAAAAATCGTACGGTCATGAACCAAAGTTCATCTGAAAGCTCTTGTATTATCTTACTTTCAAATGCCGTTGGATTTATTTAAAAATCATTTCCGTGTTATCGCAAAAAAAATGTTAAAGTGGCCAAAACATCACTTTTATTCCAATTTACTCAAAATCCTGACGTGCTAAGCAAATTCTACCAACGGTATCGTGTTCAGCACAAGATTTTCGAAAAACGTATTGTCGTACTACTTCGGAGAGAAAAAAAAGTGCTTTTTGTCATACAGTGTTATCATTTCTAATATCTTTCTCGTCTTATTTAATAAATATATTTTTTAGAAATAGTTTTGTTAATGTTTCATATATGGGTAATAAATTCTTGTATGAATAACATTCTCCGTGCTAGGTTTATTATTTACAAGATTATTTTCATCTATCATGTTCCAATCGTCTGTATGAAAAACATAAATTGCGCGATAAATAACTTTTCACAATTGTGAAAAAGATCGTATGTTAAAATTTAGAAATTTTTTATAAACGTTTAGTAGAATTCAAATCTATTCTTGTACAAATGCGCGTATAATAATGAATAGTAATAATCGTTTGATTTCCAGTATTACTCTTTTAAATCTAAGAAAAACTGTTTAATCATGAAATAAACAAAAAGATAATATAGACACATTATCACCAGTCACATAATTTTAATGAATAAGTGATTCTGAGAATCTATATTGTCTCATTCTTGATATTATTAATGTAAGAAAGTGATTTTATCGAAAAGCAAGAAATATGATATTAATATAATTAATTGATTTCAATTTTAAATTGACTAATTCGTTCTCTTTTTTTTATAATAAAATCGAATAGTCAACAATCTTCATATCAGTTAAAAAATATGAAATATATTGTCACAATCATGCAGAAATTTATCCAAATTAATCAAAATATTAATAAGCATGAAAATTTTTTCTATTTGCACAAATAAATCGTCTAGAATTACTAAAGAATTATATAAATATTAATAAAGAAGATTCACATATATTCTTAAAATATCATAATTAAAGCTATTCGATCAAACAGTGATAAACTCAATGTGGTGGATAAGACTGACACATCATTGACGATCGATCATTTTCAGTTGACCATTTTTATATTCTATTGATAATTTTAATGTTTTAATTATTTCTTTGTAAATTGTCCGAATTAATTAAAAAAAAAAAACGTTTCCAATATCCCTGTGAATACGTTAAATTCGTATGAATATGTAAAATGTCGCGAATACGAGCAAAAAAGAATATTCCAAAGTACACAGCACGTGTTTGTGTTTCAAAGTACATGAGAGTGCCAGAAAAATAGCTTCATGTTTTATGTCTCTACAACTAAAGATGACGAGACCGTCTTACTCGCCAAAGATCAAGCACATTATACCTAAAATAATATTTGTCTACGGAATAAAGTATAAAATATTTAATATGAATACATTTTTCTGATCAAACTTATAAATCATCAATTATAATACTAATCGAGCCATTCATGTATAAGTGTATGAATATTTAGCCTCCAAAGATATTTTCGAACATTAAAATAAATTTCAAAATTAACATAAATACTTTATTATGTAGAATTTAATTAAAACATATAATTATTTATACACTTGATTTCGAGCCATCATTCCTCATGAGATGACGTGCAATGTGCATCTCCTGCTCTCCTCACGAAAATTATAACTATACAGAAAAATCAATAAGATATTTAATTAATTTATAATATATCTTGCCAATTATCATTCAACGCGCCAATATATCATTATTAAAGAAGATAGTTGTTGTGAAATGTTCAATTAAGAGCACAATCAGTAAAATACTGAAATGTTATGGACGGAAAAAATTCGATAGAAACAAGCGCTACGTTCTCTACCGCCTTGGCGCACAATGATTTCTCTGTTCTACCCCACGTGACCCTAAGCATCTTTCTTCCCCAACATCTAACTGTAAATGTATACCGGTTTTCGTCTCTTCCAATCTGTCCTAACTGTCCTAGCTTTACCCTGGATTATTTTCAAGGTATCACAGAATCTCCTTTGCTCGGAGCTAACACGTGCCGGCGAACTTTCCTTCGCTGGGTGTTACGAAAGTGCAAAATCTCTCTAATGTACCGTGCACGCGGTCGAAGAAAACAGCCGGAGGTCTGTATAAGAACGGCAGGTTGGCAATGGGGGGTCGACGATCCTGCCGCAAAACACGAGATGTAGATCGGTATGGCGCGTTGTTTCGTACACGCTTACGGCCTTGGCCTAGTAATATCGAGGTGCCGTACGAACGATTGGCGAAGCTCGAAGAATACAACGCGATCACGTCCGTTGCACAACGTTCGCGAACGTGCCGGTACAAAGTGTCGTTCTACGTACATCTGCCGAGGTGGCCAGTGTTAATTGAGAATTTTTTGCCAAGCGATTCGTCGGAAACGGATTGTATAGCGAGCGAGAATCGGCAATCGCTACGGAGACAGGTATATCTTGCCGCTCTATGCGCATCATTTTCCACATGCGACATGTGTGTCACAATCGTTCGCCACGACATTGTCGATGTACACAGAATTATTGAAAGAAATTGACTTCTCTCTCATTAAACAGATATAGATACTAAACTGGATTAATACTCAGATGATTTTTTTCAAAATAAAAATTAAACTTTGTGCACGTATGATCAAATTTTAATAGTGTACAAATATTATTTTATTCTAAAAAAATATATATATATATATTAATATATATATATTAAAATACTATTAAAATTTAGTTACGCGCACACTTCAAGTTTAATTATATTTTTAAAAAACCACGAAATAAGAAGTTTTTTCTATTTTTACTGATCGATTAAACAGCCGTGCATGTACGTCGTAAGACAATCGTCGTAATGTCATCGTGAAATCTTTGTTATATAAGAAACGTTATCTCGATCGGTTCGTTTAATTTATGTTTCTCACGGAAAAAAAAACGTATCGTATTATTCATATAAATATAATATTGAATTTCTTAGAATAAATTAAATCTGCCACGTGCATAAATCTTGCAGATCAGAAAACATTTATGTTATGCAATCCATTTCGATTCTTATCAGCACGATTAAGAAATCGTAATCAACTTTAAATGACTGCGATAAAAATTCCCGGTAAATTATCGAAGACCGATCAACAGAAACGTGAGTTCTTCACGTTTCGAGTAGCATCAATGAAAAGTTTAGAGTGATTACACTGTGTGACGAAAAGTGCAACAAAAAAAGCGATATAATTGTTTTATTTTTTTATAAATCTTATCGTAAGGTACTGCTACTGCTTTATGCGCCGCTGTTTATATTGTTTTACTTTTTATCACATTTCTTGTCACACGGACTGCAGGTATAATAACCGCAGCAGCAACAAATTATCATCGTTAATGGCACAATCTCCACGTCCAGCCGATTATTACTCGAATAGTTCGAATTCTGATCTGACTCGTAATTGTTGAAATTACCGAACATTCCGAAATTCCAATAAACGACGATATCCTTTCTGTTTCTTTTCTTATCACTTTTATGCACACGCCAGCACAATTTCAATTTCTCTGACAGTTTACGAAATTCAATTCTCGGATTCATTTTCTTAACTCCTCCAGTTTCTCGCTCTCCTTCTCTAGATAACGACACGAACTAACTTTTGCAGTTAGAGAATTCCAAAACATCAACAATTTTAATGATAAATTAGGACACAATGTGCACAATACATTATGCGTGTAGCATCTTTTGCTGGCTCACGGTGAATCTTCCTGATATTAAAAAAACTATTATATTATATAAATATGTTACGCGCGTTATATATTTCTATCAGATCTATCTAATAGATTTTCCTAATAAATTCTGATGCAGCTAGAAAATCAAATGAGCATCGCGGTGAGAAAAACGGAGCATAATAAAATTCGCTTTTGCGTTTCAAAAATTACATGTTTTCTTCTTTTTATGCGAGAATGCGCGTTGTCTGTGTTGCAAAATGTATTCAACGTAAACATCTTGATGATCTTGATGAGTCAAGATGTTTTCTCAAGAGTAGAGGAACTTTGAAAAATCAAACTTAGCTCTTTAAATTAGCCATTAGAAGCAAACGATGACGTGATTTCATACCGTATTCAGAGATTATCTTATGAATATCCTTTTGCGCATTCAATCGCCTCGCACAGTCGAGAATTATCGATGCCGCGGAATTTCAATTTCGCAATTTACAATCGGCACAAAGGTTAAACTGTGCGGATCACGTAAGGAATACGCTGCAAAAATTAAAGTTTAAAAGTCCTGAAGCGACGCTGCAGAACGGATATCGGCAGCGGCTATGTCGATCGCGTCAACAAACCGATCATCAAAATCGCAATGGGCTGCGCCCGCCGGGCGTATTTCATTATTTTTGTTTGTTATCTCCGAGACACACGTAGCGCTCGATATCGAGGCAACATCGAGCGCACAAGCAAGAAAATCTACTCGCGAGCGGCGTCGCCTTCGACATGGCGTTCGAGAGAAGGCAATGCGCACAATACATTATGCGTGTAGCATCTTTTGCTGGCTCACGGTGAATCTTTCTGATATTAAAAAAATTTATATTATATAAATATATTATATTCTATTTATAATTTATATTATATATAAATATATTACGCGCGTTATATTTTTCTATCAGATCTATCTAACAGATTTTCCTAATAGATTCTGATGCAGCTAGAAAAGACGACCAGGGCTCGCGACAAGGGCGACTCAACGAGAATTAAGGAAGACGCTTTTGCGCTCGCACGAGCATACGATAACGTATATACGTACGCACATTGCGCAGGAAGCGCGTTGCATCCTTCATAATTTCTGGCTTCAAGGATTCCCCCGCGCTCTTTCCGAGTTTTCGTAAGTACTTCACGTACGCGAATCAAGTCGAACCGCGCGTCCGCGACGTGATCCGCGTACGAAGACCGCCGCGTCGCGGACGATACCGTGCGAGCGCTCGAGCGCTGAAGAACAACTCGCGCAAAAAACGGGATTGACAATACGTTAGCTGCTGCAGAGGGACGATCTGATGTCTCGCACACACGCGGAATAAAGACAGATCATCCGTCCGTCGATTTTTCACGACCGTCTCGCCGCGCGGTTTCGACGCGGATGCGTTTCAACGCGCGCGGGGACAATCGCAACGATGAGAAAGTAGATTATTTTTGTTGGTTGGTGTCAATTCTTTTATTTGTCGTTACCGCGCCACGCACGCGCGCGCAATGAAAATTCCTCTGAAATGCCTCACGTTTCACGGGCGGCAAAAATATATAATCGTAAAAGCCAAGAGTTTTTTCCACGAAAACCGGCGAAATAGTCGTCATGCCGTTGCGACAACATTGTGACGCCAACGTGCGGCGTTACTTCATCCACGACGGTCGTATAATAACGTCGGCGAGTGTTCGCCGTGTGCGAACGCATCGTTCACGCGGGCGCGTACGCTTTAAAGACGTTTGTATCAGAGTAAACAATCAATGCGTCACACGTGTGCCGTTTCGTCATCGTTCTCTTCGTCTCTTCGCTTCTCATTTACTACACGCGATAAATCGACGGGAGTCAACTCACGCGGTTCTCTCGCTATTAATCTATCGGCACGATAGATGATGTCATTGTGTATGTATTTGTTAGCGCGTCGATTCGTACGCGAGATGAACGAATATTTGGTGCTGATTCTGCTTGAAAATCGTGAAATTCGACAATTGGCAGAGTCAATTATAGTGATGCGGCTAGATTCCCAAAATCTTCTCGGAAAGAATCGGTTTTGTTGAACTAAAGATTTAGCTAAACTTACAGATCTGAGAATAATTTTGTTAGATTATCAAAAAAATTATGTAGGACGCACGAGTTTGTAAAATTAAAAAAATTTTTTTAAGTATTACTTATCGTACTTGAACGATTTACGTAATATTATTTCGATGATCCAATAAAATTATTTTTAGATCTGTACATAGTTAAATTTTTAGATATTTCAGCAAAACGTTTTTGTGTATCAATATGATGTATATAAAATCAACTATCATATTTAAATAATAAAAAAATTTTTTTGTTGTATATTATCACAATTTTAACGAAATATATATACATGTATATGAATATATGTATATACATGCTTACATGTAAAAATATATTTTTAGTACATTATATATATTGTACGTGTTTGTTATAAACTTCACGCACACACAAGAAATAATAAAAATATAGCAATCTTTATTCTGCACTATACTTTACCAATCCAATTATATAAGTATACATATATTCCGTAAAAACTGTAATAATACCTATACAACGTTGAGCATTTTAAACTATTTACAGTAAAGATATTTATGGAACGTTTTTATCTGGAACGTAAATATCTCCGAGCGTGTGTGTGTGTGTGTGTGTGTGTGTGTGTGTGTGTGTGTGTGCGGAATGCTTTCAGCGCGGTGCAATAGCGCGATCAAATTACAACTGCAAGACTTGTCTCCGGATCTATCTCGAGGCCGCTGACGAGAGAAGCCGTCTGCGAAACGTGCCCATGTGACAGGCAGAAGCTGTCGCGCTCGCCCGCGACGCTCCGCCTCTCAACGGGCTGCCTACGGGACTAGGAATTGCGGATCCGCCGGACGGCGACGGTGACGGCGACGGCGACGGCGATGACGGCGACGGCCACGTCGACGCAGCGCGCGATTCTCGTTGGCAGCTGATACAAGCGGTATATAACACATGTATAGCTTCCGCGAAGAGTATCGCGGAACGGTTAAACACGGGGAAGCCCAGATGAGCCGGTCGCCGTCCGCGGCCCGGCGGCGTGTCGCGATCAGCTGATGCGGCCGCCGCCACGTTTTCTCACCTGTTGCGCGCCACTCCGTCTCTCTCCCACCCCCTGCCTCCGTCCGTCTCTCTCGCTCTCCCTTTCTTCTTCCCGTTGCGCGATCGATCGCGCCTCTCTCCGCGCCGATCCTCCGGGGCGATTGTGATGCTGCACGGAAAATTAAGTACCGGCACACACTCGACACGCTCGCGACCACCGCGTATCGCCGGCGGTACGCGCGACTATACGGCCGTTTCACACGGAGTGCGGGCGAACCCGCGGGATCGCGGAGATCCGGGTTAAAAATACACACGTACCGAGGCGCGGCACACGAGAGAGAGACCCCACTGGCGGTCCGCCTGCCGCCTCTGCTCAAGGCGGACGTCTCGGGAATCTGACGCGCTTCCCGCTCGCGCGTTCCTCCCTTCGTCGTTCGCCCGACCAGGGGCGGAGCTAGAGACCGGCTGCGAAGGGCCGGCCAGCCGTCGCGACGATATCGCGGAAGCCGCGGAAATAGAATGTATTAAACTTGTCATATCTCTCTGCCACCGGTCGCGTCGATTATCTGTTCGCACATCTGTTCGCGGTCTGGCGCGCGGTATGACGTCAAGCGTCTTTCGAAGATTTAGAAGATAAAAACGAGATATAGTTTTTTTTTCTCATTGGAGTATATCGAAGCGTATTCAGCACGCGCTTGCAACGAACGTTAGCGCCCATTTATAGCATATAGAGTTTGCGTTACCTGTACTATATATAGAACGGACTCGCGTTGCAGCGCGCCGACATGATCGTTACGAGCGCATTCAAGAACAGGGCCCAAAAGGCCTTACTTGACGTATATATGTATATTTAAATATTGCAAAATACAGCGTCGATTGCGGCACAACGTATATACATACTTGACAAGGATGCTCGCGCATAAGTTGCACTCCCGGCGTACTTCAAACGGGTAATTGGCGTGAGATCTTGGCGAGAAGGGTCCTCTCACTCTCTCTCTTTCTCTCGCTCTCCCGATCCGGTTCCGGGCGTGCGGGAAAAGTGGATCTCGCCGGGCTCGCGAGATTAATCGCAGAGAATCGCTCTCCGAAGGGTCGCGATCGCGAGCGCGTCCGACGTGCGCGGCGAAGGGAGTAATTTCTTCGCGCGCGAAAATCACGCTAGTCAGGCGACGACGAACGCGCGTGAAACACGAAGCGACTCAAATACACCGTGGGACACTTTGCGACTGGCCGCGATAACGGTGATCGTATCGAAAAGATCGATTCTCGAGGTATCGAAACGACGAGCGTCGACCGCCCGCCCGCCGAGGCTGCGTTCCATTTGTTTGACGCTCGTCCAACGCTCACTCCTTGTTTAATACTTTGACAAGCAACAAAGTTGAAATAATTTCAATTTTTAAGTTGCGAGCGTTAAATGGAACGCACCCCGTAAACTAATCGCGCCGAGGCACACAGCGAGTCGCACCACGCGCCACACGTGGTGGGAATGCAAACCACGTGGTCGTGTGCATCTTTTCACGTGGTAAAACAGGAAACAGGCAATTGTGAACGGAATCGACTCCGTTCCGCAGCGTGCACGTGAGCCACGTGAGTTCGCGAAGCTCGAATCTTTAATTTCACAATCGCTTTTCGAGTATTATTCGAATATTTGCAGTTTTTGCAATTGTATTTTCAGATAACAATAAGAGGATTTTTTTCCCCACAAGTTTGAGACTGAAGAGCACCACGAGTAGACTAAATTAATTACGGTAAGGTTATGTTTTCGTACTCCTGAAAAGATCAAAATATTTCTCTTTCTTTTTTACGGGGCTGAAGATGCTGCATGCAGTCTGAAGATTTGGTGTTCGCCTTGTACGTAACGTGTTGCTTATCCTCTACAGATTCATTCAAAGATGAAGCGGTCGGCGAGGAGTTTGGATGCTGATGACCCGAAAGAGGTTAGTGCGGATACTGCCGAGGACGATAAAAACAGAAAGAAAGTGAGATTCGAGAAATCTCTGGATAATAAATCTACAGGTAAGAACGAAAAAGAAACCTGCATGTCAGAAGTGGTCGGAGTGGTAAAAGTAAAAAATGTCCTCAGGTAAAAATATTAAGCCGTCCCTTACGAAGAATTCAAAGGGAACGAGTGTGACAGCGGCGAGAAATAAATCTACAATCGATAAGCTGAAGAAGATAAGCGCGCTCAAATTGAAGAGGGAAAAGAAAGAATTGGGACAGAGAGTCGAAGATCGGAAGAACTCGAGGGATGACGATCCGAAATCGGGGGAAAATAAAGCAGCCGCCACCGAGAAAACCGATTGGCTCCGACTGAAGAGGGAGAAGAAGGAGCTCAAACAGAAACGCAAAGCCAGACGACTGAACGACGATGCGATGTACGACAGGATTATTCAGGCCAAGCGGATTAGCGAGAAGTTACGTAGATCCGACTGCAAGGCCGTCGATCGTGTCGCGTTAACTCAGACGTTGCACGACATGCTGAAGGGCAATTACGTCAAAGTGGTATATACGCACGATATGTCCCGAGTGGTTCAGTGCATGATCAAATATTCCAAGGAACACATTCGAGCCGCTATATTTCGGGAAATGCAGTCGTCCGTCGTAGAAATGTTACGGTCGAAATACGCGAAGAACTGCGTGAAAGCTATCATGAAGTATTCCTCGCAAGAAACCCGGCGTCACGCCGTCTCCGAGCTTTACGGCAACGTCGTCGAGCTGATGAGGCACAGCGTATCGGCCCCTCTGGTGGAGCATGTATACCGCACGTGGTGTACGAATCTCGAAAAGATGCATCTCAAGCAGGAATTTTACGGGTCTATGTACGGGTATGGGAAAGTAAACGATAAGATCGAGTCGCTGTCGGATCTGTTCAAAACCGAGCCGGATATGAAGCTGGCTACGCTGAAGACCGTGAAAGGGAATCTGAATCTGATCCTGAACAAGGGTCACGTCAATTCCACTCTGGTGCAGACGGTTCTCTGGGAATTCCTCGGCGTATGCCCGGCGGAGGATAGGAGCGAGTTGATAGTTGCGCTGCGGTCTCACATTTTGACGCTGTCCCAAACGAAGATGGGCGCGAGAGTCGCTATGCAGTGCGTATGGCATGGCAACAGCAAGGACAGAAAGATCATTATGAAAGCCATCAAGGGAAACGTGAGGGCGATGTGCATGTCGAAACACGGTTACATGACGTTACTGGCGCTCCTCGACTCCGTCGACGACACCGTTCTCATGCAGAAGATAATATTGTCCGAGCTGCAAGAGGATCTGGTTAACGTCGCGCTGAATGAGTATGGGAAACACGTTATACTGTATCTCGTGGCCAGGAGGAATCCTCTTTACTTCTCGCCGGGCATAGTGGAACTTCTACGCCAAGGTGATAACAATTCAGCGAGCAAGAAACTGGCCGATATGAGGGAAATGGAGCTCCTCGATGCGATTCGCGACCCGCTTTTCGACGCTATAATTGCGGACGCGGCCACGTGGCTGTCCAACGGCGGCATAGCTATGATCACCCTGGCGATATTGAAAGTGGGCTCGGGAGAGAAACTGAAATCTGCGTTCGAATCGATTGCCAAGTTTATCTGCGGCATAGATTCAAAAATCAAGGACAACAATGTCGAATACAGTGCGGTCGAACATTCTGGATTGCATCTCATGTTGAAGAAGCTTATTCAGCACGACAAAGAGTTGGGGCAAAAGAAGGAATCTACATTTGGAGAGATGTTAATGTCGCATCTGTCGTCAAACGTGCTGGAAAAGTGGACGGAGCTTAATAGGGCTTGCTTCTTATTAATATTTCTTCTAGAAAATGAGGAGAACGGTATTAAAAATGCGTTACTGTCTCAGCTGAAACCTTTAATCGCAAAACTCGAGACAATGCGCATCCCTGGAGCATCGATATTGTTAAAAAAATCAAAGGAATAACTGTAAATATAAGACATGAAGGTAATGTGTACATTATTTACAATTCTTATCCTTTTTTTTTTAATGTAGACTATTCTCATTTTTACCGGGAATAATTGTAATAGAGACCTCGATTAAATTTGAAATTTTTTTTATACAAACTTACAAAATATACTTTTGGAATACTTTCAAGTAAAGTTTAATTTGATAAAAATAAGTCGATCTACAGAGATTCTCCAGAGATCTACCGATTACAATAAGTGATCCATTTTCCGTTTTCGAATATTCTTTTTGTTATTTTTTTTTTAATCTCACAATTTAATATGTACATATACATATAACATACAATTTATTTGAACGCGTTAGAAATATATTTTAATACAGCGCAACATACAAAAAATAATAAAATGTATTTCTATTTGCTTATACATTTTGACATATCTAGCTTTCTAGTTAAATGTTCATCTCGCGATCAGCCGTCATACGATCTAGTCATTATGTTATAGAGTTGTGAGGAATAAATGCAGGGTTGATACAGATTTTTCTTGCTAATTAAATGAATCGCGAGTTTTATCCCGTGTTTATTAAGTTTCATTATTAGCGACAAAATATCCGAAAATATCAGCAACTTCGGATCGATATGATATTACGCGAGACACGTGGATAGCTAATAAAAATGTATATACTAATAATAATTGGTCAACTAAAAATATATGCAATTGTTAATTCTGAGAATTAATAAATAATTATGAGATTTCATGTAACTTATAATTGAATTCCATTTTTCACGGAATTGTCTCATTCTTGAAATATTTGTATTTATTTTTTATTTGGAACATCACTTTAACGCATATAATTAATATATTATTATTACTAAGATAATTATTTTGTAATTATTCGGCAAGCACAGAATCTGACACAAAACGTTTTGCCATATCTCTGAGCTGCTTCTTCGCAATCTTGCCGGTGTCTGTGCGCGGAAATTCGTCCAGGAATTGTACTCCACCACGAAGATGCTTGTAGTCCTCTAAATTATCCGCTACTAATTTTATCAGTTCCTTCGCCGTCAGCTATACAATTTTCAATGATCAAAAAAGTTCTCAATCCGTTTAAAAGTTTTGTTTAAGGGAATAAGACGAAACTGACGATTAGTATAGCACTTTCTCGAGATTCACACTAATTACGAACCTCAGTGCCAGGAATTTTCGACACAAAAGCGATCGGACATTCGTCTACGGTGTCATTATCCATGCGCACCACGGCAACTTCGAGGACAGCTGGATGCCTCAGGAGCACGTCCTCGATTTCAATGGGATAAACCATGAACCCGCTGACCCTGATGGTGTCCACGATTCTGTCGCATATATAAACTCCCCCGTTTTCATCGTAATAACCGAAATCTCCGCTGCGTAGCCAACCTGAGAGGACACATTCGTATATTAATTCCAGCTGTGAGTAAAATTTTTTCATAGAAAAAAGACTAACAATAAGACTCCGTTCATTCATAGTCTTTTATATTTAAGATTGACTTAAGATGTCACAGCCAATCACATCCATTTATGTTGAGACATTAAGACAATCTTAAGACAATCTTAAAATAAGAACTGACTATAATATGAATATCGGCCTAAAAAACTAACCGTCCTCGTCTAAAATTTTCTTAGTAACTTCAAGATTGTTATAGTATCCCGTCATATTATACGGTGATTTCCAGAGAAATTCACCCACTTCATTCGGGCCTAGTGTCTTTCCTGTATCAGTCGCGACCACCTTCATCTGCACATTCTTAATCACGTAACCGACGGAGCCTATTTTATCATCTTGTCTCTGTACAGAAATAACGCCACAAAGCTCGCTCATTCCTGTAAAAAATTTTATTATTATCTATATCAATCTCGAACGATTCGGCAGAGACGTTTGAAAAAGATTGTCAATGCGTCCATAGTCCGAACAAGTTTCCGTATTCTTGTCTTGTGAAATACTATTCTTTCTATATTCTCTACTCTTTTCTCTTTTAAGTAATCATGTCCTTTTTCTAGATTTTCCTACTCACCATAAACAAATAAAATTTCCGTATGAGGCAAGGCCTTCATCAAGGCCTCTATCAAGTGCGACTTCATAGCGTTCCCACCCAAGACCATCCTTTTCAAGGATGGTAGATGATATTTTCGGAGAAGGCCGTTCTTTAATACGTTCACAATCAATCTGGGTTGAAACCAAACAAATTCAATCTATAAACCATTGTTCTTTCATGATTATAACTACCGAAACAAATTTTCAGTTTAATTAGCTTGTACAATTATTACGCACGTTATACTTCTCGATCAGTTTGCATGCCAGCTCCTTCTCGTATTTGTCGCAAATAATCTGCGTTTTGCAGTAATAGATTGACCGAAGAATATTTAAGCTACCAGTGATCCATCGTAATGTGCTGAACCACATTACTACCCTGTGATCTTTTGTAGCGAATGAGTCATCGTAAATCATGTTGTTAATCACGGCGCGATGCGACGTCATCGTTGCCTTGGACGAGCCAGTACTTCCGGATGACAAGGAAAATAGAGCAGTCTCATCCAAACTGGCGATCTGCGTGCAACGAAACTCGTCGATCGCCGCGGCATCCTGCTCCTGGACAATCTCTTCGAAATCAACTGCGTTTTATTTGATCTTTCCGTTTTCTTGCGGGGTAAAAAAAGTTTGGGCCGAATAAAAACTGCAAAATCGGAATGTCCACGCCACTAATTACCCTTCTTTTTCTCTTTTATCTCAGATTGCTGCACAGTTCGAATAAAGAAAAAACATCAAAATATTCAAATATTTAAATAAGAGGAAAACAAGCATTCTAAATTAACAATTTGAAGTATAATCTATTTTAAGAATTTTTTGAACAATCTTATTATTTTTTTGTATCATTATATCTTTGGCATAAAAAAATTTGCTTTAAGTAAATTTCCAATTTTATCTATTTGAAACATTCCTTTAAATTAAAGAAAAAACTCGCATTAAAATAAATCTTGAAATTATTTAAGTGTTAATTTGAAATATATATGATACCTTTCAAATGATTTTCCTCTGTATCGCTTTCCTTTCTTTTGTTCTTTTCTTTTTGCAGGTTTTTGCACACAAAAGGAAATAATATCTGTTCGTCAAGTCATAATTTGACAAATGAGTAGAGGTTTTATATACTTACTCGACTGTTGTTTTGTGCACTTTAAAAAAGCAAATAGATGTTACAAGTTAATAACAGGTTGACAACAGTTTTATGCTGTAGTTATACGTATAGGGGTTCTTAAGTGATAAGAAAATTACGTTTAACAAATTCTACGCCGGTTAAATTACTTTTTATCGTGAGCATATATTAATGACTTACAAATTGTTTACATTAGAGACGCAATTAATTTTAATTTCTGTTTAATTGTAACCAGATAATGTTCAAAATCGGCGCATAAAGATGTCTATTAGTCAACTGATAGAAAACTAGAAAAGCCGATTCAATGTAATCATGTATGTAATTAAAATACACGAGCGATATCGAGACGATTTGATTATCACCTTCTCCTTTTTCATGAGATTCATTTTATTATGTTATAAAATACAAGGACATAGAGAAGAATTTTACGAATAATTGTTTTAAATTACATTTTATTAAGGGATGTAATACTATAATTAGGCACAACTACATTTAACATATTATTAAATAAACACGCAATCGTAGTTATCAATCTTTTGTTATCGTCATTCCGAGATCGCCAACACCTACGACAGTACGCAACATACAACGACGTGTGCGAAGGACAAACTTGATCCGGGTTACCGTGTGCATACTTAATGTATGTACGTGCTAGTTAAATTTTAAGCATCTCTTTAATATCAATCACTCTGGTCCGTATTTCTGGTTGGTTATCCTTCGCTAGATCGGGCAAGAGTTCCTTCAAAAGGCGCGTCATTTTATCGAGTTGCTCATCGTTATTCGTCTCGCGCATTTTTCTTGCTAACGAAAGAACGATGTTTAACGCTTCTTTCCTAATTTTGGTGAATTTCGAAATGTCTGCGAAAGAAACAACGTACTTAAAATGAATACGATCATTAAAATCGCAAAAGGTTTTACATTATTTTATTATAGTAAAATAATGTTAAACAGAATTAGTGCGCATTTAATTATTATACAGCATAATTTTTTATATTGTATACATATACTCACTTATACAATACGTTAATATTTTATTGAGACTATCCCCTATTTGCTCTAATAGCTTTTTGTCCTTTAATGAGATTTCCGTTTTACTTATTTTTAACAAGACAAGTTTATCCACAAAGAGATTTAACGCTGTCAAAATAGCGACTTGGACAGACCTTGTACTATTTGGCAGTACTTTCTGACAGTGAGTCACAAATTCTATGCAATATTTATCTGCAATCATAAATCAATTTTGTAAGATACTGATCAGTCGGAATGTTGTAAGTATGCATATTCGCGTATTTGTTGCCGATAAAAATTCGCTAATTAAAACGTGTAATTCTGTAAAACCTTGAGTCTCTTTGGTGGAAGGCCATGCTTTCCCGAGCACCTCGTAAACCGTTTCCTGCAATTTTATATTATTTTCCTTCTTTTTCCTATTTTCCTCCACAGTGTCTTCCTCGTCGTCGTTACTTTTATCAGACACCTGACATACAAAATACGAAAATATGTATTCACATTCGCAACTGCCCTTCACGATATTGCTGTCGCAATGCTACCTCTTACCTTAATCAGTATTTCCTGTACAATTTCGTATATTTCTGTAAACCTATCAATATTAAGTTCATGCAAGACCATGGCGAACGCTTGTAACGCGTGCCGACGATACTCCACGTTCTCCTTTTTACTTTCCCTATGTAGTGTCAGCACAACTGTATCTAACAACGCAGGGTCTGCGTTTAAGGCTTCTCTGCAACGACATTGGAATCACATTAAATTTAACGAATACTAATTAAATCGTTTTAGCGTAAAGTTTCGAATTGACATTGCGACGTACTTGCTATTGCACGCTAACATAGCGAGAGCGTTCAGCAGACGTTCCTTTCCGTTCCACGTTCTACCACGCAGACCATTGGTCAGTATCTTTAATAAGGTATTCCTGGCTTCTATATCAATATTATGACCTGACTTTAAGGCAACGGTATGAACTGCGTTTGCCGCTTGCACTTTCGTAGTCCACGACGCTGACTCCAAAGCTACGTGTAAAATACCGGTTATTGCTTGCAGATTTTGCACGATTCCTGCTTCAGTCCCGGGCGTTATTTCGTTCCAAAGATCAGTCCACAATTCAACGGTGCTTTCGTTTCCTGATAAATTACAATATATATAATAAAAATGTATAAGAGATTAAAGCGCGAGGCATACTCGCGAGTGACAAATTATAAATACCGGGATTATACACACCTGGCACCTTTTCCGCGTGCATCGCAAAGAAGGCAAGAGGAATGACAATTTTTTGATAATTCTTTAACGTCTCCTGATTATAATTATTTATAGATTGCAATGCTTGTCCGATCGCTAATCTTATTGCATCATCTGTAATTTATATTTTTCATAAAATGAAATTGTAAGACGCTGGTAACGCGTACAGTGCTACTGTTAGCATGCGGATGTACCTTCGCGTTCCAAATACCACGTGTTTAAGGTATTAAATAATTTATCTAGACTAGAGTCTTTAGCGGAGCCAACTATATGTCCAATGCAAACCGCATTGTTTTTCCTCACAGCAGCATTACGATCCAACAAACCATTGAGCAAAGCAGATAATACTTTAGCTGAATGGGAAACACCGTATGATTAATTTGTATTACGAAAATTCCAAAAAATATCTTTGGCTACTAAATTATAACACAATATCTTATGATTAAAATATTTAATTCTCTTGTTTTTAACATTTGTATTTTGTACGTTATTTTAAAACTGAGATGGTTACTTACAACTGTACGGCTGTAATTCTGCTTTCAGATGCGTGCTGAGGAGAATCACGAAATGCAAACAAGCAATTTTTGTTCCAAATCCTACGCTGAATTTGATTAACTCTATTACTTTTGGCATTAATTCCTTCAATACGGCCGCATCGACGTACTGGATACACTGCAGGAAAAAATTGAAAACAAAGTATTGAGGCTATACTCTAGCGAGTTCGCTTCCAAGTCGTCTGATGAGAATGAAAGTACCTTTGTTATCGTATCTGACGCATAATGACCTTTGGCGACGCTCGCTCTGAGATTATCGACTGCCTCCTGAGTCTCCGTGGTCGCGCCGCACACATTACTCAAATACGAAAGCTTAGGGTTCTCCGATTCGCCGATCGTCTCCAGCAACGACGGTATCAGATTGACGAGCGACGGTTTCAACAGAACGCCGGCCGTGGACACGAGTTGGGACACCGTTTGCAACGATATAGATCTCACCGTCTGCACGACGTGAGTGATGCCGGTGTCGAGTAGCACGGGCAGTATCGCTTGAATAACTTCCTTCCCCGCGTTACCGTGCGACGAGTCGCAATGGCGTATGCAAACCTACGGGATTAAATCGGTATTAAGTCGCCAAGTCGTTAAGATAGTCACAAGTTGTAGAAAACTCGTGCGCCTCACCTTACTAAGTATCTTAGTGGTGTTTGTCGCGGCTAACCGCGTACCCTCGTGAATGTCGTCCATCACGCGGAACAGTTTCTTCCAGAGCTCCGGGCCGTATTCGGCGAAGTCGAATTGAACATTAGTCCTTAATAGATCTGCGAGAGCATTACAACAACTGATACGTACCCTCCACTCGTTATTCGTTAGATTATCAGTTACATCAGTCAATATTTCTTTATGATACTGTTCGATCTATGGCGATATATAAAAAACAAATTTTTACGCTTGCGACACATTTTGTATACATGTTAAGACGCTGTTAACAGATGTCAAGTAACATTATATACTAACGGCTTTCGTCGTGGACGGAACGACGGCCCGCCAAATGCTGCTCATACTCTGCTGGATCTTGGGCGTCGGATCGAACTGATATCTGTACAATCGCGGTATGATGTTGGGTAGATATTTGTTCAGTTCGTCCCTCGCGATATTGGCGATTGCCGCGAAACCGAATGCAGCCCCCTTTTTGGATGTCCATATCGCATTGTGATTTGCCAAATGCATGAAATAATACACGAGCTCGGGCTTCTGCATTTCCGTCGCGAGAGAACAGATTTCTCGGTACGTCGACAGATTGCCACTAAAAAAAAAAAAATTGCATTATTTCTTTTAGAATCTAACATCCTTTCGTTATTATATAGCGTAATATTCTGCAACTAGTTTTTTAATTCAGATACTTTTTATTTTGAATTGTACGGTAACGCGAAAATATTCTCTATTTTAATCTTACCCAGACGGACTCTTTCCTAGTTGGCCTTCTTCAAATAATTTGGTGTCGGCGGTAACCTGTTGCACCGCTCTGCGACCCTGCGTGAACTGATCTAATATATTGGACACTAAAGCATCGCGTTCCTCCTGTTTGCTGTTAATATGTACCAAACTAAGGCCTTTCGAAGCGATGTCTTGCACTATATCTGTTGCGAGATAAAAGAATAAAATATCCCTTTCCACTCTCAATGATGACAAAATTCACTCTCTGACTAATCAATAATTTATATTTCTTACCACTGTCATCTGATAGAAAATCTATAAATGCATGATGAATCATGGAAAATTTTTCCTTAATACATTCCCGTTGAACGTTGTGTTTTAGAAGTGCAAACAGCCATACACATACTGCCTTTAAAAAAAAAACATCATGTTACTAATCAAAAGCAAAAATTGCTTCATCCCTAAAAATATCTTTCTAAAAGTATGGCATATAAATACCTGTCGCAAGTTTGGATGAGGCACTTTGTATACATTAAATAATTCATTCAACACATGTATTAACAATTCGTCACTCTCTTTACTGTACGGACCAACATGTTCGGCGGGCAAAGTCGTCCAAGCGTCTCTTGCTTCCGCAGAAGCTTGCGCTTGAACACAGCAGACCAAAGCTTCGCCCAGAATTAAATGAATTTCGATATCTTTTGTCTGTAAAAAATCATTGTCATATCAATTATTACGTAATAAACATATAAAAGATACACATTTAATTAGGTTAAAAGCAGAATTATGTACCTCCTTGACTGTTGCTATAATTTTGTTAGCGATGTCCGTGGTGTGCGGAAAACACTCGCCGACGCACAGCTGTCCCAATGAAAGCGCAGCTTTTTCTTTCATCTAAGGAAGATAAAAAAAAAAGCCGCAAGACTACAGAGTGTCAAATATAAAATGTGCAATGTATAATGAACTACGTTCAGGAGACAAACCTTGGTATTCAATTTGGCATTAGATAGTACGGAAAAGAGCGTTTCTACTATCGCTTTCTTGTTCAACTCGTCATCGCCTTCCGTTGGTAATGGTAGAGAGTACGTTCTACCCAAGATACCAACGGCTTGAATAGCCGCGTCCATCAATAACATCGCGTTGTCGCGAAGATATGTACCTGGACGATAAACGTAGCGTTTCAAGTAAATTTAACTTGTAACATAATTCGATCAACATATAAATACATACATATTGTTTTCACAATATCGTTGTAAGTCGTCCAATTGCACAAATCCTCCTTAGTAGTTCCATTTCGTTGCTGTATTAAATTTCTTTCCATCATGTAAGTCAGCGTCATTAACGCGCCGTGCTGCGCCTCCAAATTTTTTCTATTCATAACGTTCATAACGTTCGAGACATGCTTCTCAAATTCATTCCGCGAAAAGTAGCCGGTAATAGCGGCGTATATTTTCGCGGCTAACTGTCGCACGTCTTGTTTAGTGGAAGCGAGCAAGGAACTGAGCCACGGCAGCTCCTTCTCGTACGATTTTATCATGTAATGCGGAACGGATCCAAGCACTTCCAATAATGCGTTCAGAGAAATTTGATCTGCATCATAACAATAAAATACATGTAATTTGATATGTCATATAATTATTATTTCGTGTTCAATAATAATTACGGTTATTTTTTTTTTTACCTGCGCAAGAATGACTGAAGAGTAAAATCATATCGACATAATTATTTAATATCTCCGGTTGATCCTTGTATAATCTCTCCAAGTAACGTCCAATCAAAGGGGTATGTTCGCACGGATGTTGCAACGGCTCATTTCGCGCGGGAATATTTGCACTCCTGGCGAGGCAAACGCGAAAATAAGTAATAATCTGTAACAGCATAAATTACAATTGTAAAAAAAAAAAGAATACATTCGCGGTATTCGCAGATCTAGCCTCCACTTCAGGAACTTACCTCGGAAAATGTAGCGACACTGTACGGGAGTACCTGCTTATCCGTGTTTCTGCCGCCGCTCGCGGCGGGCATTCTCGACTGCATCTTCGAATAGATGTAACTTACTAGTTTCACAAACTCGGGCAGCAATATCTTATTGCTAATCTGTTGATCGTCCTCATTTTTATGGACAACACCGTAAAGCGCCTTCGTGGCTTCTGTACTTATCTCGTGTTTGTTGTCACCACACGCTAATAACAAGAGATACCGAGATGGAGCGTCATCAGGTGGGAACACGGTTGCGGCATAATGCATTGCCACAAATCTATTCGCAAAGTAATACACGTCACACACACGATTAGAATATATGCGTAAAAATTATGGTGTATTGTGAATAATCTGTGATAAAAAGTCTATACACGTGCCTTACGCTCGATTCTGGCGATTCGATGTGCACCGACAGCAGAGCATTCATCAGAGCTACATTGCTTTCGTCCTCCTTATTCAGCACAAACGCGGACGTTACGCAAATCAATGCGTCCCTCACCGTGCGTCGCAGTTCGCCGTCCGTCTGAAATATTAATTATACAAAATGTTCAAAGTTCATAATTATACGTTTTATAATTTTAATAATCATTTACTGTATTTTTCAAACAGTCGAATACTCACGGAGACAAGCGTGTCGAACAAGTTGTGCAGCAAGCTCAAGTCTTTGTTTATCAGAGACGGTATTCTTTGACCAAGTTGTCCAATGACTGTATATGCCATCGGTTTGTGCACGTCATCGCCTTCGGAGATCAATTTTATCATGCCATTCAAGATCACTCCGGCGACGCGAGTTAACGGTATAAGGCTGCAGCTTTAAAAAAAATTATTTTCCAATCGAATACAGTTCAAATACATTAAATAGACCAAGTGTACACTTTAAATAATAAGGCACATATCGCGTGTGTAGAGTTTATAATAAAACAAAAAAATCGCAAAGTTAGTAATAAGGCCCGTCTACATAAGTCGCAAAACGCAAACACAAACGCGGAGGAAAAAAAAACGTACAAAAAAATTTTTTAAAGAGAGAAACGTCATCTTGCGTCCGCATTTGCGTTTTGCAACTTATGTAGACGGGCCTATACATTGCTCATGCGAATAGAAAATATGATGGATATTTTCCTTAGTGAAACTCAAAGAGATAAGTCGAAAATTTGTCAAGAAATCTTCAATAAACGGCAATGACATGAAAGAAAAATTAGCAAAAGAATTATGAAACACTTACTGCTGGACGATGTTTGACGTAAATTGCAGTGCCAATGATTTTAACTTTGCATTCGTATTTTTTCCATAGAGTGAATCGAAAATAACCTAAACGGGAAAAAATGACAGTTTTATTATGTAACATCACTGGTAATCATTGACATTTTGTTTTCAATTGAATTTCACGTACCTGAATACACGGCGGTATGATGAATCCCGCTTTAGTCACTCGACAAAGATACTGCAGAAGCTTGAGGCGAATTCGAGTGCTTGCTGGTAGCCGTTTCATTTCGGGTTTCACCTCTTTCTGCGTGGCCAATGCATCGGTGCCCAAGAATAACGTGTAAAGCGGAGCTGCTAGTTGCATCGAGGACCAATCCAATGTACTAAACAGGTGAAAAACAGAAGAAATTACAGACGCCCGATGCCAAACGAACGGCGGGCTGACAACTTTCACCCAATTGTCACGCACCCAATTATCTTCTTCAATTCCAAATCCGCCATGTTAGCGATGCTGAATCTGGTGTCCGCGGCCGCTACGATCAGGTGTATCAGGATATCTGTATCCGGGAAAAATCCACCGGCGAGGAACTTGACAATGCCCAGTTTCATCTGCTCGAGCTGCTCGGCCGTAGGCGGACTCTCGCCAATCACTCTCTTGAACGCGTAGTCGCTCAAGCCGGGCGGTACGGTGAACTGCGTCCAGTCGATCTGACCGGATTGTTGATTTTCCGTTTGTCCCACGGATCTGGCGATATTTATATAAATATATATATATATATAACGCAGTTAGAAACCATGTGAATATTTAAAAGTGATGTGCATTGATTGTACAGCTTGTATAACTCACCCGTAGGGCAACAATAATACGTCGAGCATAAAATTTATGAGCTGCTTCGCCACGTAAGGCTTGTCTTGCAAACCTAAGAGAGACGCTCGTTTATCGACATCCACCGGTATGTTAATGTGTCCTAATGCTGGCATTATGATCAACATTAAGCTGAAACAAGTTTACAATATCACAATTTAACATTTTTAAATGTGATATAAAATTATCAAAAAAAAAGTTTTCTGATATATTAAAGGTAAAAAAAATCTTCTGTTAAAATATAAGCATAATTGATATTTAAGAGATATGTAACAAACAAACCTGTCTTGATGAGACAACGGCTTTCCCTCGATGGCGTTCAGTACACTTGGAACCAATTCCGCCTGCTTGTTCATCTCCATTCGCGGATATCCCAACTTTATGTATATTATCGTAAAGTTCTGCAATTACAGTATATACATTAACGACGCGGCTTTTTCCAATTTTGTCGATTGCGACGGTAATATCCGCGCGCGCGCGCGGGCGATCACACGTACGATCACAAACGAGCTGGCAGATGGATCCTGGTACTGCAGGAGTAAAGCCTCAACGGGCAGCTGCACCTGAGGCCTGCTCTTTATTCTCTTGTTTATATGAATCAGCAGCTCCATCACCTTCTTCCTGACGCCTTCCTGCGCGCTGGACAACTTGAGCAGTACGGGAGGCAGAAATTTGCAGACCGACGCCTGTAGCTGCTCGTCCGTCTCGGCGGAGCCCAGGCGGAGGAACACTCGCTCGAGTAAAACTGTATAAAACACAAGAGAAGTGAAAAGTATACGGTCAACGTTTCTCTTCCTACAAGGATACTCCCAAGGGAAAGAAGATTGCTAATCGTATGTATTGCATCCATAAGAATGCAAAATAAAAAATGGGAAGGATAGTCTATCGATCTCTGAATTTATTTCGGCGACGTAATCGAGTCGTGTCATCGAACGTGAGGTCATTGTGAAAAAATGCTGACATCATGTGCCGTCGGGTCGGAGTAGACGTCAACGTGGGATTTAAACGCTTTAAATCGCAGTATCGAGATTTGACAGCTGCAAACACGTGCCCGGGGACGGCACGGAAAGGTGCGGGGAGGGGCATCGAGGGGAGGACGAAGACCCGGAGGTTGTCTCCGAGATCGTCTCTCGCCCCGGGATGACGATCGAGTTTCGCGTCTGGCCCGACCCCGTTCAACCTCGGGGGGCGGGGAGTCGCCTCCGATCCGAGGCCGAACGGCGCGACCCACGACCCGGTCGTCGATTACGTCGCGTGTAAAGGGGATCGGTCTTTATCTCTCTCTTTCTCTCTCTCTTTTTTTCTCTCGGGAGTGTACTTACTCAGCTCGTCCGTAGCCGCTGCCATTTTGAAAAAGTCCGCAAAGAGGAGAAAGCAGGGAATCCGGACGGCGAGTAGTTGCCGTCCGTGGAGTCACGCGCGCGATTCGGCGGCGCCGCGACGAGAGGCTCGACCGTTCGTCGGGGATCGTTACGGATCCGCGTTACACACCCTCCTACAGTCTCCTCTTTCTTCTTTTTTTTTCCTCTCTAACACACGTCGACGTGACCGCGCGTGTCGATCGTCGTGCAGCAGCACACGCACGACGCGCCTGCCGCGTGTATCGCACCCCCCTCGGCGACTTCGACGTCGTTTTACGTGGGGGCGCTATGAAATTTCGAGACTCCGGAGCAAAGGAGGTTAGGAATGGAGTGGAGAGAGACGAACGAGCGACACGATCCGCGATGTCTCGGTGGCGTGCCCTCCCCCTTTTTTTTTCTCCGGCGACAAGCGAATCCGTCGACGGTGACGCGAACCGCGAATCTATATTAGGCGTTGAGAAGAAGCGCGCGGTGTGCGGAAAAAAAAAACTAATACCCCTGGCAAGCAGGCATGTCAGAGACGTGTGGGATGATTAACGTATATATTTCGGGACGTTTGACAGCTCGACGGGAGGAAACGGATGATCCTCCGCTCTCCCGCGAAGCTGAAATCTCGCGGGTTTTCACGAGCGCGCGCGCGCGCGATCGGCAGTCGCCGATAAGAAAAGATTCTCGCGACGATCTCGCGTACTCGGAAGACTCGCTGGGGTTAGCCTGGGTTGAGGTTAGAGTGCACGGCTCTGCACTCGCGAGAGAGCGATAAGCGAGTATGAGCGAGTACGTAGTTCCACGCGCGATCACGTGGCGCGTATGTTGTGATTTTTCAGCGCGCGGTTCAAAAGGATGGAAAAAGTTCCGCGCGAAGTTCAGGAAAACGATCAGATCTCCGTTAATTCAAAACAATGGAAACTTCCGCACATCTCTTTCTTTTCTTTTTTTTCTTTTCTTTTTTCTTCTTCGATAACTGCAGCATCGGAGGATATCTATCTCAGTGCGGTTTCAAGATTGTCGCCTTATCAAACGTACTCGAGCGCTCGGCGCATTCGTGACCGCATCGTTGTATCATCGTCACCCGCAGCTTCGTGCATTTGAATTGGCGACGAGAAACGGTACGATTCCATATCTATTAATTGTTACATCTGCGATAAAATCAATTATTTTCGAACGTTCCCCCGCTACAAGGTCGAACCTCCGAAATTGTCGGCGAATCGAGGTTTTTCGTTTGTATTCGTAATCGACGACGAATGCGCGTAAACACTGCAGAGAGACGAGCACGAGGGGAAGAGTCGGCGATGTCACGTGAGATTCAAGTGATATTTTCATCAGCACCGCCCCTCGAATTCGAACACTAATTCTCCCTTTCCGCATCTTGATCATGGTGTAAAGAATATTGTACTTACATATACATATAATATGTAGTTAATATATAAATTAATTATATAAAAATAGTTCCAATATATTGAACATTTGCTTCATTAAAATTGTATATTAGGAGTACAATCTAATTTATAATGTATCGCATTTTGACATAGAAGTCGTAAATCAAAATATTTTTTTTTTTTACTAACTCATATTTTAGATTTGGTCTCCGGGGAACTACTTATAGATTACATTAAAGATACTTACAATAAATGTATATTGTCTACGTGTACGAGTTACACGATCGCGGTCATTACGGTTTTTTATTGCCTCCTGACCAAATTATAATATTCCGACTGGAGAACTGGATTCCCTTGTAGCTATATATTTAGAGAAATGAGAGATTTGTAATTATTCATTGGAGTGTAAATTGTACGACGTTGCTAAATATTGTAACATCATATCGAAGAAATTTCCATTTAATTACTGATCCCTGTTTAAAAAAAAATCGATAGAAAACAATAGAAAACTATATAATCGTTTTTAATAGTAGTTATGAACCGTAAAAAATTTATCATGAATAAACAATTTATTATAACGTTTTAATTATTTATTCATGATAAATTTCATAAAAAACAAGTTATTATAGAAATTCCATTGATATTCCAACGATTAAAATCGCTTTTATCAGATAATGATAACGATAGCATTTCTTTCGGAATAGAAAAAGTGGAACGATAGATACGACAGGACACTATAAAATATTTGGCAGATCCTATCGGTTCCCATCGTTTTCCATCGATTTTTTTTTAACAGGGATATTCTTTACACGATACTGATCTTCATTTTCGGCTTGAAGTTGGTCGCGCGAACGCCCCGACCAATGAACGCCGGCGCGTTTAGCAGTAGAAAATCCGCCGCTGTGATCAGCTGTGACCCGCCCGCCTCCTCCTCTTCCTCCCCCCCGGCCGCGCTTGTTTGTTGACCTTCAAGCTCGTGTCTTTCGCGAGGTAGAGGTCAACTTGCGACAGGTTCCTCCTGGCTGATCGCGCGTTCGAATGCGAGCGTACGGCCGGTTTATACCGTTTGTCACGCGGATATCACTCTGCGATCGCGTCGCCGACGTAGGTAGGGAGCATCAAGAGCGCGGAGGTACCTGATTCCTCGCGGACGTCGCCTCCGCCACGTGCGTGTTCGTTTACTTCGCGCGTCGGCGAGTGTTAACCGTTTCGTGCTTTAATTATGTGCAACCGCGTGCGAGACCGATCGTGATCGAATATCGTTCTCGTCGTCGAGTTGTCTCTCCCGTGTGAATTATACTTGCTACTCGCTCATATGTTTGCGCTCGTTCCCTGCATGAAGGATAATGTTGTATGCTAATAGCTTACATGTTATTGTCATTATTAACGTTACGTTATAATTGTAACGTTATACGTTGTATCATTAGATGACCGTTTGTATGTCATTTCGCATTTGCATCTAAAATTAACAGATGGCTTGTTTTGGCATTATCCGTTCTTAATCTTGTAAGTCATAATTACTAATCCTTATTTCAGATTTACGTAAATCGATTTATATCATTTTTTTTTATGTGTGTGAGAAAAATACGTGGAACGTGGCCGTTTGTTGTACATCATTTCGCATTTGTTTCTAAAATTAACTGCCTTGTTTTAACACTATCCGTTCATAATCTTGTAAGCCATAATTACTAATCCTTATTGCAAATTTACGTAAATCGATTTATATCACTTTTTTTTATGTGTGTGAGAAAAATACGTGGAACGTGGCCGTTTGTTGTACATCATTTCGCATTTGTTTCTAAAATTAACTGCCTTGTTTTAACACTATCCGTTCATAATCTTGTAAGCCATAATTACTAATCTTTCAAATTTCAGATTTACGTAAATCGATTTATATCGTTTTTTTTAATGTATGTGAGAAAAATACGCGGCCGTTGTACATACGTTATTTTGCATTCTAAAATTGCATATCTAAAATTAACTATCTTGTTTTGACACTGTCCGTTCTTAATCTTGTAAGTCATAATTACCAATCTTTATTTCAGACCTCTTACGTAAATCGATTTGTATCGGTTTTTTTATGCATGTGAGAAAAATACGTAGAACGAGTGAATTGCGTAATTGCGTTAATGATTCCTATAAAAAAAATATGTATTTGTACATGTAGAAGTTAAAGTGATAATTGTTAACATAAAATGTTAATAAAGATTATTAATTCGTTACTATAAATGTTTGTATTTCTGTTTTAATATAGTATTTTATACTAGTATTAATATTTAATACGTGATACAAATAATCTATTATAATTTCTCTTATTTTATTGATTAAATTATTACGCAATAATGCATCTTATAAAATATGATGTAAACACTAAGATTTTAATCTCTGAAATGTGTGTTTCTTTTAATAACTTTTACATAACACTGAGGATATAAAAAAAAAACTTAAAAAAAAAAGTACTATTAATCTATGTTTTACGCACCTAGTAGTCTTTTCTTTATATATCTGTTATAGGTAGCACGCATAAAGGATTTTGCTTATACATAATAAAATGTCGGCAGACGCTGCGATATCATTTTCCTAACAAATTGTCCAATCGGCTGTGCAATTAACTCGCAATTGACAATGGCCCGCAAAATAAGACGCTTCGTTTGCAATGCAAGAAAAATGCTCTTAAGGATTTTCAGACGCTTTCTTCTCTTTATCCGTATGAGAGGCCTGTATAGAAAAATGGATGCTGTAAGTTAAATTTCTGTACCCGCGAACGTGCGATGTGCAATATGCGAAATTGCGATACCGTATATATAAGAGACCTCCTCAGTAAAAGAAAAGAAAAAAAAAATCTTAGCGATTCGATCGTTTCGTGGCCAGTGAAAGATTGTGTGTACTTGCCATATTAATTCGTTAGAGAACGGGAGAGTCTTACGGCAGAAAGCAGTTGTCTCTGCGGTACCACGGTATTGTAATTCTATAGTACGTACGGTAAGAGTAGCCGCAGCCTTTATACGTGCTCACACAGCAGAAACGCCGGTAATGTAATATCGTGCACGCCTGTTAACTGCTTTATGCCAATAACTTATATATTAAGGCTTATACGCTGCCAACCGAGCGCACACCCGTTCTTCCTACGCCCGTGGCGTACCGTCCCTTCGGAAGCTTCTTCGCGGATCCCAGGGGGGGAACTTAGTAAAAATAATTATTTCGTCTTCTGCTTCTCTGCCGCAGCTATTTTTTTTTTTTTTTTTACTCCGTCAGACGATATCTGTTACGTTTTTAATACGGTATCCTCTTCGTGATTTCAGACAATTGAAAATATGCATCATACACGAGGCTCCACAACCGACGAGCAAGTAAGAGTCCTAACTGTGAACAATGGGGAACATCTCGACGGGATATTATACAGATTGAAAAAAGGTACTTGAAAGGAAATTTGACTCCTAAAAGTGGTATACCTTCTGAACAATATTTCTTTTTTTTTTTTGCACTGCGGCATATCTTTATTGTAAATGATTTTGCATTCCTCGCAGGATGGACAGTTGAGTTTCGACTCGGGGCCTCCCTGCTTGGAAAGGCGCTTGATGTCTTTGTAAATCATCCGTTGTCGCCCGACAAGAAATTCGAGAGGCATACTTACTATCAGTTGCAATGGGTTGACGAATCGGCGAGCATACATTTAACTTTGCCTGGGTCATTTCATTATTACGTCACTGATCAGTAAGTGCATTATGAGTGCGTTACACGAGTAGGGTAAGATTTTTTTTTTTTTAATAACGAGACGTGTGTCCGCTTTGCGCAGAGTCGAAGGACACATAAAACCCGTCGCGTCCGGATACTTGCTGGTGGATCCCGAGTTGAGAGTGGGCGAGCACGGGGAGGAGCTACCTCTGGATTGCGTTCAGATTCAAACGGTTCTGGCGAAGAGTTTAGGACCGTTCTCTACGTGGGAAAATAAACTGCTGGTGACACGAAATTCTGGATATAACGCAATTCATTTCACGCCGATACAGGTATAATGCTCGCGCGATCGATGTTGTGTAACGTATAAGAATACTAAGTATTTGTAATGAGCGCGATTTAACGTTTCAGGAATTAGGGCGTTCGAAATCGTCGTATAGTCTGAAGGATCAAGCCAAGCTGAATCCTCTTTTTAATGAAAATAATGAGATAGTTACTCATCGCGATATCGAAACGTTTGCAAAGAAAATGCGGACCGAATGGAAGGTACGTATAATTATCGTCGAGGATAAAAGAGATAAAACGCGTATTCAATTATTTCATATATGTTACAGATGTTGAGCATCTGCGACATTGTTCTGAATCACACGGCGAACGAGAGTCCTTTCCTGGTTTCTCACCCGGAGTGCACGTACAACTGCATCAACAGTCCACATTTACGTCCGGCGTACGTCTTGGATGCAGCGCTGTTTGAATTAACAGTCCAAGTAGCCGCCGGAGAATGGGAATTTAAGGGCATTCCCACCGTAGTCGAAACCGAGGATCATTTGAACGTAAGTCACAAATTATTCCCCAGTGATTAAAATTTAACTTAATTCTTTCTATTTTTAATCGCGCCTTGTATCTACTCACGCATTTCGTCTCTAGGCTATTCGCCATGCCCTCCACACACATTTCTTGCCACTAGTGAAGATACACGAGATGTACATAGCCGACGTCAATGAGATCGTAGCGGAATTCTTGAACTTGGCGCGCAACGAGATGCCGCAAGACGTGAATAATACGGCGTCCAAAGAAATTAGGGTGATTCAAGATCCCGCCTTTCGTAGATTAAAGTCGACGATAGATATGCAGCTTGCCCTGAAAAAGTATAACACGTACAGGTAAAAACATATGAAATTATGTAATCCGGTGTATATCTAAATGTCCACTCATAGATGCCAGAGACGTGATTCTTTTACTTTTACGCAGAGCCGATTGTTTCGATGAGGAGACTCGTCTGAAACGATGTGCAGAGGACTTGAAGAATAAATTACAAGACCTCAACGCAGCTGTTATCAACGGTGTGCAAAACCATCTGGACGCTGCCGTTGAGAATAGCATTGCTGGCATAAGATATTTCAGAGTGCAATCCGATGGTCCAAGAATTAAGGAAATTAGCGAGAAAAATTCTCTCCTTCCCAGGTAATTTTATTTAAATTTAAATTTATATTATAATGTAATACATAATGTAATATATTTATAAATTTTACGACTCTTGATATGATAAATTTACATTCCACAGATATTTTACTGATTATGGAGTACCCAAATCTTTAATGGAAAGGGAGAATATAATGTATTCAGATAACGGATGCTATCTCATGGCTCACAATGGTTGGGTCATGAATGGCGATCCCTTGAAGAATTTCGCGGAGCCTGATTCTAATGTGTACATTCGGAGAGAGCTCATCGCTTGGGGAGATAGCGTGAAACTCAGGTAAAAAATATCGGACGAACGTTATTTAAGTTTCAACGAATTATTAGCGAAAAGTGCATGTATGATTTAAAATATTGCGACCAAAAAGGAATACGATCGTTGCAGATATGGGCAGAAACCAGAAGATTGTCCTTTCTTATGGCAGCACATGGTGGCTTACGTGGAACAAACGGCGCAAATATTCGACGGCGTTCGATTAGACAATTGCCATTCCACACCGATCCCCGTTGCTGAGGTACACCACAATTCTAATGCCCGTTTCCGTCAACAAAGTTTAACTTTAATCTCAGTTTAACTTACTCTTTTTCCAATTCTTTGAACTGGAAAAAGATGAAGAGTAAGGTAAACTGAGATTAAAGTTAATCTACATTGGTAGAAACAGGCTTTCAATACCGCAATATTTACGCAACACGATTCTCTTTACAGTATATGCTTGACGCTGCACGCCGAATTCGTCCAGATCTCTATGTTGTCGCGGAATTGTTCACCAACTCCGATCAAAAGGACAACATCTTTGTAAATCGTCTCGGCATCACGTCTCTAATAAGAGGTTGTCATCCTTTAAAAAAAAAAACTATTGTTTGAAATATTTTTGAAACTTTTTAGTTGCTAAAAATATGCCGTCACGAAAAATGAAGATTATCTTCATATAAAAACTGTTACATTGCAGAAGCCATGTCTGCGTGGGATAGCCACGAACAAGGGAGATTGGTATATCGATACGGAGGCGAGCCAGTTGGGGCATTTTTGCAGCCGCGAAAACGACCGCTGGTGCCGAGCGTAGCTCACGCCCTGTTCCTGGATGTGACTCACGATAATCCCAGCCCGGTGGAGAAACGAAGTACCTTCGATCTGCTCCCGAGCGCTGCGCTTGTGGCGATGGCGTGCTGTGCCAGCGGCAGTAATCGCGGATACGACGAATTAGTGCCTCATCATGTAAGCTCGTAGTGTAAACTCGAATTTTTGTGCAGTTTTTTTCGCCGTAAAATCTTGTCTCTAGAATTTTACGACATTTTACTTCCTTCAGATACACGTGGTAGATGAGAAAAGGCAGTACACTCTCTGGACAGACGACGATTCGACGAACGACGTCAAGTTTATTAACTCGAAAACTGGTATAATTGCAGCTAAAAGGGCATTGAACGATCTACATTACACGCTTGGTAAACAAAAATTTTCGCAAGTACGTTATCAATTGCTCAGTTTTCGTGGTTTATGTATTAGAAAGTTAAATACATAACTGTTGAAAATTTTTTTTCTGTTTTCAGGTGTTTGTCGATCAAATGGATACTGACATAGTGGCTGTAACGAGACACTCGCCGACCAGTCACGAGAGCGTAGTTCTGGTCGCGTTCACGGCATTTGAACACCCGGACTCTAACGCTCACGATCTGAGAAGGCACGTGAGACCGCTGAGAGTGGAGGGTGTGGTGGAGGAAATTATTCTAGAAGCATCGCTCTCGCACGTTGATGCCAAGTAAGCTGTAAACTTTATTTTCTTTAAAAGAAGAAGATTTGCACTGTTTACGCCGATCGATAAATTCGCATTCTCGCATTCTTGCAGAAACGGCAAACCACTTTTCCTTCTGCCCGAGAAATACGTAATGGACGAGAACGTCATAAACGGACTGTCCGAGTACACGCTGAGCCTTAAACAGCACGTACAGTGCTGCGACTCCACGATAATCGAGAAGGTCGATTCCGGCGATCCTAAAATCACGCAGCTTAATTTCGTGAACTTCCAGCCCGGTTCCATCATAGCTATACGGTATGCAAGACTACAAATTCCTGTCCCGGGAATCGCATTATCCGTATCGCTAATTTACGTACGAATTTAATTTCAGTGTGACCCTCCACGCGAACATAACACCTGCTTTAAAGAAGCTCCAGGATACTATCTTGCAGATTACTTCAAACGAGAAATCCGACTTGCACGATATAATTTCCCGCATGGACTTCTCGGATTTGAATAAAACGCTGTACAGGTGCGACCAGGAGGAACGTGAGGAGACTCAGGGTAAATTTGGGGTATACGTTGTGCCGGGATACGGACCGTTTGTATATGCCGGGCTGCAAGGTGATGCAATGCAATCTTTAATTGAATATGAAATATATTAGACGCTCAATATTTTTTAAAATTACAACTCGTACATCAATATACACATTGGCACGAGTTTTATTCACATATATTTATTATTCACATATATTTATTATTGTTGCCGTTTAAATAAATGTCCCGTTTCCATATCAGGTATTGTATCCTTACTAGCTGATATTCGTCCGAATAACGACCTAGGACATCCCCTGTGTGCCAATCTTAGACAGGGTAACTGGCTGATAGGTAATACATCGGAAACCATTCCCGAGAAATAATTGTAGATATCGATATTGGCGACATATAATGAAAACGGTGATTAAAAAATTGTCAGATTACGTGTGGCAACGTCTAAAAGAGGATGACGGCACTAAACCCCTTGGAACGTGGCTTGAGCAAGCGATGGAACCGTTCAAGTTAATCCCGAAATATCTCGTGCCGAGTTACTTTGACGTTATAATCGTAAACATCTACACGATTCTTTTAGACCACTGCTACAATGTGATGTCGAAGTAAGTAGTATTTGATATCGAAATGAATATTGAATCGACTTATTGGAGAACTAAACTTCTAAATTCTGCAATTAGTATTTTTATCGTGCTAAAAAATAGAGTAGTTTCACAACAATTCATATATTACTTGCCATTAATTTAATATTATTGTTATAGCTTTGTTAACAATGGAACTACATTCGTTAAATTGCTGAGTTTGGTCTCGGTGCAAATGGGTGGCGTAGTAAGATCGTCACAATTGCCGGATTTGTCGCCGGATCTCAGATCACCGAAGCCGAAAATTAAAATCCACGACGGCGTGGCGAAGCAAATGTGTTCAACGTTGTCGGCGGGCTTGCCGCACTTCGCTACGGGTTACACGAGGAACTGGGGCAGGGACACCTTCATCGCTCTGAGGGGGCTGTTACTTCTGACGGACAGGCATGTCGAAGCGAGATTCATAATCCTTGGCTTCGCCGGTACTTTGCGACACGGCCTGATACCCAATCTACTCGATAAAGGAACCAATGCCAGGTATAATATACTTTCTTAGAGCATACGCATTTTTATAGATAGAATTCTATATCCGAATAAAATCAAAATTTAATCCAAGCTTTGCTTTCGATTTAATTCCGTAATAGATACAACTGCCGTGACGCTGTGTGGTGGTGGCTCTATACTATAAAATGTTACACCGAGGAAGTGCCAGACAGTTTGAATATCCTGTCCGATAAAGTTTCAAGATTGTTCCCGACTGACGATTCGCCAGCTTTGCCAGCGGGGCAGCATGTATGTCATAAGAAGCAGCTGTTTTTTTTTTGTGACTGCAATTATATTGTTATTTAAATAAAAAGTTGCGCGTTACATGACATAAAAAAATGATTTCAGGATCAACCGCTGCACGAAGTAATTCAGGAAGCTCTCACGGTACATTTTCAAGGTCTCTGCTTCAGAGAGAGAAACGCCGGGAGGCAGATCGACGAGCACATGACCGAGCGCGGATTCAACAATCAGATCGGCGTCCACCCCGAAACCGGTTTCGTGTTCGGCGGCAACGATGCCAATTGCGGCACGTGGATGGACAAGATGGGATCTTCCGAGAAAGCTGGTAACAAGGGCAAACCGGCCACCCCGAGAGACGGCTCCGCCGTAGAGATAGTCGGGCTGAGCAAATGCGTTCTCAGTTTTCTGGCTGAATTGTACAAGCAAAATCTTTTCCCGTACGGCAGCGTTCAACGTAAAAGTCGCGACGGTAAAGATATCGAGAATCATCAATTAAACCTAATTAATTTCACATAATTAATACTGCTTGTAATTATGAACTACAGGCAAAACGATAACTTGGAGTTACATGCAGTGGGCCGACAAAATTCAAGCGAGCTTCGAGAAATACTTTTATGTGAATGAGATTCCGACACCGGACGAGTTGAAACCCAATTTGATCCATCGGCGAGGTATATTCAAGGATAGTCACGGGGCGACGCAAGAATGGGCGGATTATCAGTTGCGGCCTAACTTCCCCATCGCGATGGTTGTTGTGAGTGTTACTATCAGTCTTTAAAAATATTCTGCGAAGTGTGATAGAAAAGGAATGTTTTGTGTTACAACAAATCCAGTCATAGTGTCATAATGATTCACAAATAGGCGCCGGAACTGTTTGATCCGCAACATGCCTGGACGGCGCTGAAAAAAGCGGAGGAGCTACTACTCGGTCCGCTGGGAATGAAGACGCTGGACCCTGCGGATTGGGCGTATAACGGTGATTACGACAACGCCAACGATGGTACCGATATCAAGGTAGCGCACGGCTGGAACTATCATCAGGGACCCGTAAGCATCCTTTATTTCGCCATCGTGTATTCGTCTTGCGAAGAGATAGACTTAACATTTATGTAATATATTATTTTCATACGTCTATTTTAACTTTTTTTTTTTTTTTTTTTTCAGGAATGGATCTGGCCGATAGGATACTTCCTGCGAGCGCGTTTGCACTTCGCGTCATTAGTCAACGATAAGAACGAATTACGTCGTACGGTCGCATTGACCGAGGCCATCATTTCGCGGCACTTCATCGAAGCGTCTGTCAACCATTGGAGAGGCTTGCCCGAGCTTACCAACAAGGACGGGAATTACTGCAAGGATAGCTGTCGCACCCAAGCGTGGAGTGCTTCGGTTATACTAGAGGTTTGTGCTCAGAGAGAATTTTTTACGAACGGTGTTTCTTTTAGTATTTTTCATGATGTTTCTAACGGATCACTGCTACCATTTAACGGAGTCGTTTAAGAATGTTATTTGTATGAAAATGTCATTATTCAATGCCCGTTTATTTGGGATGCAGGTACTCCACGACTTGCAGAAGATCAAACGGGAATTGCGATCCGAGCGAGTGAAAATCGAGAATTGATGTCACTTTGCGTGTGTTCACCACCACCAGCTACACTTAGAGCAATTAAAATTAGAGGCGAGACGTAGTGGCGTTAGGGGCAGAGCGGATGACACGAATGTGAGCCTTCCCACCGGAGCAATAACGACACCGCGCACACCGGAAACACACGCATACCGTATCCCGCACGTAGGCGTAACGAACACGCAAATTCACGAATCTGTAGTCGCTGCTGATAGTACGTCCGCAAGGAACGATACACTGATTGCCGCCGAGGAAGGATCGATCGTTGCGGTTGATAAGAAACGCGATGACACAAATTTTGATGGCTCGTGCGATTCGAGAGAGGTTCCATCGATCGCGAGAAACGAGGTGTACCTCGACGATCGACGGAAATCTGAGAATTCGATTGGAAACAACGAAGCTACTGTTCGAGCCCCGTCGAACGTCGGTCACGTTTACGAGGAAATTGGAGCGATCAAGGAGCCACGCGGTAGCTCGTACGAGCCCGACATTCGAGATTACTACGAGAAGTATAGCCCCGCTACGGCGAAGACCTTGATAGACACGCTTTTCCTGCCGCGGCACGTGATCTGCAGGGAGTGCGCTAGAACGAGGGGCAGTCCGGTGTACACCGATCGTCTGATATACACGAGGGAGTCGTTGCTCGCCGTGGAGGTGGTTCTGTGCCAACGCGACGACGTTTCGTGCTTCGAGTACCCGCGCGAGGATTCCGAGGATATCTCCCGCTCGCAGTACGATCGAAGCCGAGATCGCATGCTGGTCCACAGTTGCGCGAAGACCAACGCCGCGGGTATATTCTACTCCCACTGTTGGCCCCGGGACGTCTTCGATCTGCGCTCGCTGCTGAAGCCGAGCATCCACGTTGTCAATCGCGCCTACCGCAACCTCGCGGTGAACACTCAGCTGTATCATCGCTGCACAAACAGCTATCACATGAGAACATCGAGAGCCGGCTGCGCGCCCATGACATTTTGTCGCGACCGTGATGACACTCCGATAAGCTGCACGAAACGCGTCAGCCGCGATTCACAGAATCCGCCGATTTATCAGGCGCACCGCTCGAGGGGCGATCACACCGACGAACATCGGGGGAACAGATCGAGCCTGTTGCTGCTGGAACCGTTGCTGCTAATGCCGGAATCGGCGGATTCTGAGCATCGGGGGGACACCAAAAATTGGATTTCGCGGTCGGAACGCACGAAAGTTATCAGAATAATAATGGTCTACGCGTCATCGATTCTCATTCTCGCGAGCATTACATTTTACATCGTTTATTTTACCTAGAACCGGCTGTCTGTTAAACTTGCGGTGAGATATTTAGGAAAAACTTAATCGCATTCGGATGTTATACGTGTTACACATTTATTGTCATTAATTTTACGTTACATTTTGTTACGAAGTGTCGTTCGCCAATATATTCAACGGAATGATCAAGGTGTCGCATATATGCACGATGATTTATATTTCGTCGTTACATTTGTATATATTTACGTCCGTTATTAATGGGATAATTTCATCGATTTATTAATGACAAGAAATTGTTTTGCGGTATACAAATTGTTAACTATCTTAATCGTTAAATCTGCATCACTATGAGCGAATCGGTTTCACCTCTATATTAAATTACACGCGTAACAGATGTACAATTTTTAACAAGCTCGCATAATTCATCGTAAATATATTTTATATATACTTTTAAAATCTAGAAAGCGATTATAGTCGTTTCAAAGTTTAAAACAAAAATGTTATTCGAGACACGTGCTCGAACTCTGTAATCTCGAAAGTTCGAAAATTTAATCCTTTTACGTGTTGTCTATTAATATGTATATTAAATATTTAATAGTTCCTATATTATTAGTTTCACTCACGATACTAGAAATGCAGGAATTGATTTTTTATGACGTCTTATTTATATAAATATTCATCGATATGATAGATACATAATGAGTAAAAATTGATATGCTTTTTCGTCAAGAGAAACGTAAAGTTACTAATTTTCGAAATTTTCGGATAGATTTCGTGGATACATCATATCTTAATTGTAAGAGAGTGGATCGCATATATTTAGATCACAAAAAAAGCATGTGGGAAATATAAATTTTGTAATAAAAAAAAACAAATGAACTGACAAAACTTCTAACTATTACTAGAAGTTTCATTATTATATTTATTTTTAAATGCCTTCATAATATGTAAATTCCGATATTTCAGTTTTTAAATTCTTTTGCGAATATTTACATTTGAGATTAATGCGTTTTACCATTATTGTTATAAACTGACTTATTCTTATTAAATTTTCCTGTTGGTTACACCTAGTCAATCTTTTTATACCATTTCTATCCATTCTCCGTTTCAAAGCTTTACAAACTATTCGCAATGCAAATAGAATTAAAGTGACTAGAACAAAAATTTTCAAATATATACAATGAGAATTTTTTGTCGTCATATTTAACGAAATAAGTTGAAATTATTAAGATTATTATAAGAGGTACAAATATTTGAGTATTAAAATCTAAATTACTTACAAAATGCTAGATTTTAATAATTATTTCAGGTACATATGGTTAAAAAAGTCATATATAAATTATTTATTATTTCAACATAAGTCAAACTATACAAAACTTAAGAGAAATAGTCGAGAGATAAAAATATACATTTGCCCCTTAAACGTAATATACATATTAATACTAACACAAACATTCATTGTATCATCACTGATCCTATCCGCTGTCACAATTTTAAGAAAAAAAAACCGCGTTTCTGTCTCAAGCAAGATCTGCGCGACTTTCATTCTTTTAGCCCAGTTTCTTCACATATAATAAGTTATAAATACGTCTCATAATGATATTACTTTATTTTAGTTCGTGCTCCTACCTAGTGCTCAGATTCAAAATTCTACGGGCATGTAAAGCCTCATTTCACGTTTAATAAGATTCATTGCACTGCCTCGTATCGACGAGCCGACATCGGTGTCGCGCCCGATACAAAACGTCGTGTAAATCCTTGAAAGCCAATTGACGAGTTCTACACTATCACCCCTAAACCGTATATATTTGCAAAAATGTTACGCTCTTTAAATATCGTCGAACAATCCCCTGGGCGGAGGACCCACGCGACTCGTACTCGTCGGGAACGCCCTCGCGTTACTCGGATCGAACGTATCGATATCGCCCTGGTTCTCCATGTCGCACCGATTTGCACCATAACCGTCGCCGCTGAAGGTCATGCCGATGTAATACTCCGCGGGATCGAAATCGTGCAAAAGACCTGCCCTCGCGGATTCGACCGACTCGTCCCGTTTCAACGGCCGTACTGAAGAATTGTCAACGATAATGTTACTTACGACAATCTCATAATACGGTGTCATTTTTCATACTCACCAGTGTCAGTACTTTGTCGAGACGATCTGTAACGCGATCCCGTACTCACTGCAATATTGAATCTCTCCTGCATCTCGCGTCGTCTGTACATAGAATCCTCCGCTCTCTGCCGTTTACGTCTCTCTAGAGAAAGAAACAAGAAAATGCGCCGTTTTCTTATTTCAACATTTACTTCGTCTCTCAATGTATATTAGACATTAAAGCAACCCGAATGTAAAGGCCATGTTTTATGTAGCATACATGCCGCGTTTTAAAGTGTGATTAATTCATCAATACCTCTCTTTATAAGTTCTCTCCCTTCGTCCACGAGATCCGTCGTGAACTCGTCGTCGTCGAGGAATTGCTGAAAGCCTAGCATGGAGAGCAATCTACTGCCTAGGCTAAAGTAGGTCGCTAAGCAGAACGCTAGAATTGCCATGGGAAAGTATACGTTGAATCCATCGGATATTATCGAGATAACGTCCATATGGCCCATCACCTGGCGAGGAAAAGAAAAATGATAAAGACAAGGACCAATTTTTTTTTTTTTAATTTACAGATTCAAACGATATTACTTGTGTGTAGTGCGTTTCCAGGATATGAGTTTTGATGATGTGGGAATCCATGTGAATAAGTCCCAGGAAATTGAGGCACAGGGGCGGAGTTAAGCGGCACAGCATCATACCGCTGAATATCAGACTGTACTCGTTCGTTTGATGATGGGGCGCCAAGTAATAGAGATTCAACACCCGTATCTTCAAGACGGTCGAATAGGCGCAGTAGCAAAGATACCCGATGATCAACATGGACAGTGCCTGATGGCGACGAATAAAGACGCGTGACAAGCGATAATATACATACCACGCGAAGTAATAAACGCAAATCCTTACCTCTATCGTGAAGTAATCGTAATTTCTCTTAGCCAAATTCAGAAATTGAGCGAACAAAGACAGTACGGGAGACTTGTTGAAGAACGTCACTTCCGACCACACCACAGCCACCGATAAGCAGCCGGCGCAAATAGCGGCTGCCTTTAAAACGTAATCCTTCACGACACACTTCCAGTACCATTCTGAAATTTAAGTGAACAAAATTACAGAATCGAAGGCTAAGAAAAATTGAACTATTGAGCGAACGTTAGAATAGTATTAATGCAGCGGAAATGAAGTGCAAAGCGAGACGAGACGACGTCACTTACCGAAAGTGGAATTGTACATAATACGAGACACAAGCGAACGATGCATAGGGAAAGACTGTTTATATCTTCTGTCGTGACTCATTTGATTCTTCGGCACATCTTCCAAATCAAAAATCTTATCCACTAAAATGCCCCATTGGGTTTCTATGCGCTGCAACGTCTGCAACGCTTTTATAGTCTAAAATAGAAATAACAGCGACATGTAGAAATGCAAACACGTGATAGAATTAAAGTGACTAGAATCAAATTTTATAAATTTTCATATATAACGAGACCATACAACGAGAATTTTCGTCGTCATATCTAACGAAATAAGTTAAAATTATTAAGATTATTATAAGAGATATAAATATATTCGAGTATTAAAATCTAAATTACTAATATTGCAACACGTATATTATGCTGTTAACGAACCTGTCTGTGCAGACGAATCAGAGATTTTTCAGTAGGCGTGTCCGTTGGAGTGTCGTCGGGCAATTGCCTTCTGTTCATTCTGTCCTTCAATTCCGCGGGTATCTTTTGAAAGATCGTTTCCAGATTGTAGTGAAACGGATGACCGGGCCCGATGGATATCGTTGCAATTTGTAGCGCCTAAACAACATTTTTTTTATCCATTTTATGAGAGCTTTCACAATTCTTGCTTTCGCAACTACAAACGCAAACACGCATTAACAAGCTTTATCTCGTACCTCGAGTATATCGTCCACCGTCTCTTCCGCTTCGCACTTGTCCAAACTTAATTTCGCCACCTTGAAATAGCTGTAATTTAAAGTGTATCCAGGCTTGCTGCTGTTCCACAATCCTCGAGGTACCTCCACAAGGGCGTAACCGAGCAATAAGACCAATAAAAATAAACCCCACGTATTGGACGCAGATGACGCTATGGCTTTCAATTTTTGCCTGCAAAACGCGGCAAAACATTGTAATTATTCCGGTACATATGTGTTAGTAATTTCAAGTCTTGTACTGTACATTATAACGTGCTTTATTTCTTTAATGCTGTTGTAACTTTGGTAAAACTCACCCATCGAGGCCCTCCAAGCCAGGCTTCAGCGCAATGTATATCAAGAGTATACCGCATATGAACAGGTAACTGCCGTAATATATAGCGTTATCTATTAAAGCGGACTTCAACTTCCCGCGCACGGTGAAATCTCCGGCTTTTATGTAGGACTGCATCAACGGGAGTATCAACCACGTCAGGCATTGCGACGTCCAGTAAACTATCCTCCACAGATTTGGAAACACACTCTCCGGTACGTGAGGCCAGGGCTCTTTGCACGTGGTAAACGGTGCAGAGGTTGTGTTATTGGAATCCTTGGTGCTGTTGTGTATATTCTGCTCTACGCACTGTCTGAATACGGTCTGCAAAAGTAAGTATCCTTTTTATTTTTTCATGCTCTTCATTGAAAGATAAAGAGACTGTATACACTAGGGCTGGCGATTTGCTTCGAAGGCTTCGACATTCGAACTTCGAAGCTTTGAATCTTCTTAACTGGATTGTTTTATTAATCGTTATCTTTTCTTATTTACACATGTATCAAGTTTAATTATTAATTTGTAATATTTTAGGTTATAATACTTTCAAATTTTTTAGGAATAATTTCATACATATATTAATTCCTTTATTTACAATATTTATAAATTTTCTGCCTAAATTTATCTTTTGCACAAATGTATTTTACGAAGCTTCGAAGTTTCGAAAAATACATTTGTGCAAAAGACAAATTTATGCAGAAAATTTATAAATATAGTAAATAAAAAGAATTAATATATATATGAAGTTATTCCTAAAAAATTTGAAAGTATTATAACCTAAAATATTACAAATTAATAATTAAACTTGATACATGTGTTGTACAAATAAGAAAAGATAACGATTAATAAAACAATCCAATTAAGAAAATTCAAATTTTTAATGTACCTTTTAAAACTTTGAAACTTCAAAGCTTCAAATATTTGAAGTGAGTAAAAAGTAACAGCCCTAGTATACACACAATAATTGGAATAAGAGGATGTGTTGCGCCCGACAGATAATTACCCAAGAGACGTCCAACGGTAGTATGAAGATTATCAGTAGGGAAAAGTACCAGGCTATCAGCACGGAGAGGGTGACCGCGATGTGATGCCGGAACACGTTTCCATACTTGAAGAGCAGAGTTCCGGCCAGCAGGAACGCCACTATGATCTCCGTCAGGAGACCGGTGAGAACCATCGTTTCGTGTGTTTAATATAACATGCGTGTGCAACAGAGTGACGGCCCCTGAAATCCTACAGATCTTGGGCTACCGCGCTCGCGGTATCGAGACTACCCTCTGCCTCTTGCGCCTCCTTGACCTTGATCTCGGCGTCCCGCTGCATCCTCTCGAGCTTCTCCAACGTGACCGACTTCAGCGGGATCAGTTTCGGCTTGCAGAGTATGTAGTTCAACGCGTCCGTCTGGTACAGCAGACCTTGTCTCGGCAGGACTATGTCGCACTGTTCCACCTGGTTGCTACTGTCCGTCGGCTCTGACATCTTCGGTCGGTCGTCCGTGATGCCCCGATCAGCGAGTTAATGACCTCGTCTTCATCGTGACAGCTGGTAGCAGGACACCGCTGTGCGACATCAATCGAGGCTCAATTAAAGGATTTCCAGAAAACACGTCGTGATTCAGCTGTCAACACGTCATTTTTCACAACCGAACGAGCGACGAACTGGACGTTCACTGCTGAACTACGCTCGGTCGCTCGCCTCGATTGCTATACAGACCTCAAAGTCAGCTGAGCGGAATCAGCTCCTCACCTGACGTAACGCACCTGGGCCGGAACGTCACTGATCGTGTTGGGATCGTGTGCTGTTTTTCTTTTCTCCTGCGTGCTCCTGTCGCCAGACAACTCCGGGAGGGGTTGTGCCGTCCGATGTACCACGCCGGTACCGCGTCTCTCCTACAATCGCACCCGGACGGTGTTGCTGGTTGACGAATTCGCGAGACTCGCGAATCGCCGATCGAGAATTTTCGCCAATTCTGTTACCAGCGGATCGCCGCGGACCAGCAAGCCCATTACCCAGCTGAAACGTTGGATGTCGCGACGCGACGCTGCGAGGCGAGGAACTAACGTCGGCGACTGTAGATAAAACAGAACGCGATAAGTTAGATGGAATAGTATATGATGTTGTTGCAGCACTTGCAGCTTGTCGTTGGCGGTGGTGATAAGGATGGCGATTCGTCATATCTTGCGCCGCCTTGACATATTCGCGACAATAACGAATATATATGTATATTCGTGTGAACGGATTGGAAAACAATGATAAGCCACCCTCCTATACGTTTTGATGGATGATCTAAGGAGAAAGTATAGGAGATGCGAGAGAATTGTCTTCAGCCGCGCTTTCCGCAAATCTTCATCCGCACGTGAGATATCTTTGATGTAGCGGCGTTATATTTTCTGCGCTCTTAAAAGAAGCTGGATGTGCAATTATGGATGATAGAGACGAAAAGAGGAGAGATGAATTATACAAAAAGTTCAGCAAAGAACCTGTCGAGTGGAAACGAGGGAGGTATACATATATGTATAGCAGACGAATCAATGGGACAGATATACTTTTGTTGCGATCGTCACGCTTCGACAAACTAAACAATTAAGCTTAAATAATTATTTTATAAAAAATATGCGAAATAACTCGATTTAATGTTCATATTAAATATTACAGATATTAGAAACATTATTGGACATTATATAGATGTTTTCCATTCATCTCCTGCACTTGACAGTAAGACACGCGAGGATATGTCTGGCCATCTGGCCTTCGAGTTGAGAGAAAGAGAGAGAGAGGGAGAGAAAGAAAGAGAAGGAGTGCAGAAGGTGTAACCGGAGAACAATATATCGAGTGACAACAGCGCAAGCAGTCCCGAAGTCAGCAAAATTCGCGTGTGAAAATTATGTGAAGATTCGGGGAATAATAAAGTCTGAAACACTAAACAGCAGCTTGAAGATCGATAGCTGCTATATAAAGGAGTACGATATACGTATGTAATTTTGATACGTTCGTCCGTGACTCTCGCGCGATCACCGAACGAGAAATTCGGATTGACAGGAGGGGGAAATGCGATGATGGGTGTGCTGACATTCCTCGGTCGTAAATAAAAAGTGTCGTATTTAGCTTCGCCGAAGCGACGATAACCGAGCCCCTGAAAGCCGCGAGAGCGACGCGCGTATCAGCCGAAGCGAGACCGCGCGGTGCATTCCGTTTGCTTATTTGACACTTCGGCTTGTCATAATAGATACTCGGGTGTGAGAGCCAAAAACTTCCTGTGAGAGTGATATATTCAAGATCAAAGTCGCGTATACATATACACGTATATCACATTCAGCGTTCTCGACAGAGGATGACCTTATGATTAATTTTGAATTCAGTCCTTTTCTTCTATGGCATAATAGTTTAAATTGTAATTTAATACCGTGACAAAAAATCGTTATGTGATTTCGGCTTGATAAGGAAAAAATTATAGCGTTATATTACGTAAATCAATCGGTGATTAAATGCTTACAGCTTTACATTTAATGTTGAATATCTGTCGCTCGACGAAATGTGCAGTTTTATATAATTACACGATTATGTCTGATAATGAAAAAAAAAAAATACGGGAAGAGGAGATTGCCAGTCAGAGAAGTGCAATTCTTTCCTCTTTTTTTTTTATTCAATGGGAAAAGATTTAAGTAGGAATTTTATTTCATGATTGAGATCGCACCATATTTTTGTCGAATTTTCAAACACACCGCTACTCGACTTTTCGAATTTAAAATTGCATTCCGAGAGGTACGCGATTCGTTCCTGATTTCAAACTGTATCAGTCGCTGACATGCGCCGTGTGTTGCAAACAAATTTGAAAATGTCGCAATACGTTGTAAATACCGCGCGTAAATCAACCGTGTTAACAATTGCTGCGCGTAATCTGTGCATCTGTAAATTCATTACGTAATTTTGTTTTACATTGATCTCATGTTCCGATGTATATGCCGATGCTTTCGTGTTTTCGCAGTGAACTGCACTTATCGGTCCATTTCGCCAAATCGAGCACGCGAAAGCGCGCGCGCCGCGGGTCACGTGACGGTCGGTGCCAATCTGAGCGAGGCCCAAAAGTTCCCAGTTTTCAAGCGCCGATTGTAGCTCCCTCTCCCTCCTGCCGACGCTCCGTCTCGCTTTTCTCCGTGCCGGAAGGTGTAGAAAGTGCAGCGCAGATAAACAAGACGGGGGACGAGATCCTCGCACGACACTCCGTGTGCAGCTTCGCCTTGCAGTTTTCCGTCTCTTCCCCTCCTTTTCTCTCCGACGTCTAATCGCGTGCCGGTTTCACTTCTCGCGTGCAGAAGGTATGACGATTGACGACGCGGTGCAGTGCGAAGGAGACGGACGGACGTCGGACGCCCCCCCCCCCCGCCGCCGTATCACTATATCGCGGCGGCTGGCTGGCCACGATTACCACCACCACGCCGCCGCCGTCGCCGTGGCGGCATCCCTCCACCACGAGTCTCGCCGCCGCGGTTCAAAACCTGTCGGTCTGCATTCCAGTGTCGCCGCCGGTGAACGCCAAGCGGCAGCCAGAGCCCGAGCCAGCAGCAGCAGCAGCTAGCACTCCGGCAGAGCGGCTAAGCGCGTCCCGTTCCGTCCCGTTCCGTTTCGCCGACGCGTCGTTCGTCCACCGCGCGCGCGGACCGACCGCTGCAGCTGCACGGCGTCGTCGCGTCCGTTGTTGGAATTCTACGCGAACATGAAGTAGAAGACGAGGGGGGTGACCGGGGTGTGATCTCGTCGCGCGCGCGCGCCGCGGCAGCGGGGAAGCGGATCGGCGTCCCGTGTGTTCGAAGGAGCGAAGGAAGAACCCCCCTCCCCTCCCCCCCGACAAAGAGGAGCAAGCACACCGTGGGGACCACCGCGCGGCGGCTGCCTTCTCGCGCTGCGGGACCCTCCTGCGGTGCGCGCGTTCCGTCCGGAATTACATCCCGTGGGTCGGCGAGCGACGCGCGGGGACGCGAGAGGACAATCTCTTCTTTCGGCGTCGGCTTCGGTCGGCGCGCGGCCGGATCGGGAAAAAGGGTAAGCATGCCACTTCTCTCTCTTGCTCTCTCCGTCTCTTTCTCTCTCTTCCTCTTTTTCTCTCGTTCTCTTTCTCCATCATTCTCTCTCTCTCTCTCTCTTTCTCTCTCTCTCTCTCTCCTCTCTCTCTCTCTCTCTCTCTCTCTCTAGGCGGACAATCTCGACCCCGGTGCGGATCAATCGATCCGCGCGATCGTGAATCCGGTCCTCCGCTCGGAACCGCTCGCGTACCCGATCGTCCGGTCGCGCTCCGCGCGTCGGAAAGGGAGCACCGCACCGCACAAACACCGGAGATCGCCCCCCCGCTCCGGCAGAGATTTCCGTTTCCACGGGAGAGAATCGTAGGATCGGACACCAGATCCGGATCTTCCCGTCCGCGTTGCGCTTATACTCCTCTGTATTTAGTGTGGGCGCGCACACGCTCGTTCTATTTGCACTTTCTATACATGCTCGACGAGGTGCGCACAGCCAGCGGGAGGGAAAGGAGAGAAAGAATAAAGCGTGGAGAGGAGATGCACGGGCTGTGGGAGAGACGGGAACTCTGTAGAGCGCTTTCTTCCGCGTCGATTAACTTCATTCGCACCTATTGTTTAGTCCCCCTCCGAATCCTGGATCTTGTCTCTCCGCACCTTCTCTCTGAAAAACGTAACCGCGGCAGAGAGGACAGATAGAAAGGGGGGGGGGGAGAGAACGATTTATAATCGAAGGGAAATTTATTGCAGTCAATTCGCACGTGAGGAAGAATCTGTTTTCTTTCTCTCTGCAAATCCATCTTCCTTAACAGTTTGCTCTTGCAGCCTCTCCGAGGTTCGGAACGAGAGACTCGCGCGTATCGGGAGAACGAGGAGGGGAAGGAGGGAGGGAGGGAAAAAAAGAGAAAAACAGGTGCGTTGGAAACGCAGATAGGAAGTGTGTAAAAGGATCCGACGAAACAAGTGTATTCAGGCGTCGTCGCAGGCAAAAGGGGGATCAAGATATCACGCGGGAGAGTGCGGGAGTAGCTGAAAGGAGGACCTCTCATTCGTTATCATCCAGCCGCGGCCAGCGTCCTCCGCTCCGAGATCTTCTTCTTCTCCCCCGGCGTCCTTTTCTTTCTTTTTTTTTTATCTCACCTGTTCGCGATGGGGATCCGCAGGGGCGCCTCGTCCCCCTCGATCCCATTAAGCGCACCGCGAGACAAATGAGGAGCGTGGAGGCGAAATTCAGATTCGCCAGTTTTATCGCGAAACTCGTTCTCCCCTCGCCCGACCGCGCGTCGTTCCCCGTGTACAGGTGTATAGAAATGCAAAGCCCAACAGCTCTTCGATCGGATTGTCGAACTGAAAAATCCATGACCGATCAGCGTGTTTAAGTATACGGAGTCGACGCAGCCGTACGCGAGATACGAATCGCGAGCACGCGCGGAGACGCGGCCCGTCACGACCCCCGCGTGCCGGGGATTATAATCTTGGAGGAGAGAGACGTGAGTTTACTTTTACATCCCTTAAATGGTCCCTGCACTGGTAAACGCTATAATGCATTTCCACGCACTTATTGTGGCGCACCGAAATTCCCTTTCTCACTTTCAGAAGACTCTCCCCCTCACCTGTTTAACGGAGGCGGAGAGAGAACCCGTCCTTGCCGCCGCAACGTCGCGATCGCGATCCCATAAACGCACCGCGAGAGAGACGGTCCTTCGCTGGAATACCAATGACACGGACAGTCGTTTATATGGCACGGCCGCGCATTCCGTGTAGAACAGGAAGGAGGCCGTTCGAAGGAGGATCGAGGGCATTTTTAGAGCGGATAATCTCGGAGTCGAAGTGTCAGAAATTTTTGAAGGTTCTCACACGGGGAACTTACACAAAGACGAGCCTCGGTCATCTCTTCTCGTCCGCTGCTTCCCACGTGCAAATCACGTCGAGTTGAATATTCAAGATGACAGGCATTGAAGATCTATAACGCGTAGAAAAAAAAGAAATTGCACGCTAATTACGATTATCCGAGTATTATGATTTACGATAACGTCGGAGTATTTTGGCAGTAATTTATTCGGTATTTTTCGGAAGAACGCATGTTGTCGCGCGATTGGTATTTGAGGAATAGCATATATCGGTACGACGTATTGTCAAATTGCCAACTGTCGTCCGTGATATAAATTAATCTTCTATATACGCTACGCGATATATTTCCTCTTCTCTCTGTTATACGCTTTACGTAAACTTTGCGGCGTATAACGACACGCGTAATACACCGTTCGCCCTGTACGGCACACACATCGGCGACGATTAAGTCGTTAAATACGAAGGCGCGCATCGGACGGATTAGGTGCAATTACGGCGCCGCAGATTGCGCGTGCAAACCCATCGGTCGCGCGTGATGTGCACGCCGCGTTCTCGCATTCGTTCGTGCCGTCCGTCCGTATGCGCGTCCGTGCCAAGAGAGCGGGGGGGAGGGGAGGGGAGGGGGAGGGCGGGCGGACGCGCGGAGTGGACAACCACTGCTTTGGAATTCGGCTTCTTTATTTTTACGAGAGGTAACATCGGAAACCAGCCTCTTTGCGGGCCCTTCTCACCTGTTACATACCACCGCCATTTATGCTACCATTTAACCAGAAGTTAAGAGTCTCCTCGTACATAAAACACGGCGGTGGCTGCAGCCGTCGCGCCGATAATCTACCAGCATACACTCAAATTGTTGTCTCTCCCGCCCTCCCCTCCTACCCCCCCCTTTCCTCCCTCATCACGTCCTCTTTCTCTCGGCTTTCTTTTCGTGTATTTCTCTTTTCTTTCCCTCTCAAGTTTACCCCATTCGGAATGATAAATTTGGGATTGGGGTACACTTAAAATTCTCGTTATCCCGCTTTACTCCCTTCTCCCTCATTCGTTTACTTTAGCTTTATCGCGAGTGCCGATTTCTCTTCCTTGTATATACGGTATTAAAAGGTGCAGTAGGCGCGCGCGGGGAAGAAATGTACAATTTTGGAAATTTTCGTGAAATTACGTCACGCCGGAAAGTTATGAATATTCAAAGCTCTCTAATTGTCGTATTTTTACACGGAGAGAATTTTTTTTTTAATTTACCCTGCAAATCATGTTAATTGTGGGACAATGTAGTATTTAGGCAAATTTTGCTGTGCACTGCAATAAGATTTTACAGTAAAATTTATTGTAGTGCACAGTAAAATTTGCCTAAATACTATATTGTCCCACAATTAACATGATTTGCAGGGTAAATTTAAAAAAAAATTCTCTCCGTGTAGCGACAGATCGCATCAGAAAGGAATTTTGTAATGCAATTATAGTATCTTAATAATTTCTTCTCAATCGCCACCGATTTCGATTCTCACGCGCGCCTGCAGGTAGCTGCTTAATTAAAATATGTATAATATCGATAGAAATTAATAATCTGCAATCTTTTATTAAATTCAATTAAAGGCGGAGACACGTTAACATATATTAATCACTTGTAATTATACTAGTTCTGATTAAGAAAAAATTGCAAATACTAATTAAATAACAATCGATTTGAATGATTAAAATAAACTGTCAAATTATACATATTATTCCGTCAATATTAATTAAGCAGCTATCTGGCGTGCGTGAGACTCGAAAATCGGTGCCGCGATTGAGAAGAAATTATTAAGATACTAATCACATTACAAAATCCCTTCTATTTCAATCAGGTCCAAAGGGGATATTCCTCGTGTGCGTCAAACGTTTTAATATTGTCTCACTGAAATCGAGGCGCTTTCTCGCCGGGGTTTTTCCGCCGTTGGGAAAAGTCGACGCGATAGTTTCGGATGTACATTAAGGCGGGCGTGTGGGTGCGTAGTACGACGTCGCGGTCCGTGATGTGAATGGATATACCTACGCGCCGGTGCCCGTGGCGGCGTGTATTATAATCGTAGCGCTATATAGCTCGACGAGAAAGAATTATTACCGCCGCTCTTCGCCATCGCGGGCGTGCTGCGAGCGAGTGTATGGTTTTCTGATGGCCTCGCGCGAGAGGGCACGTGGGTGTAAAACGGTTCGCGCAATGAACGGCAGCTTTCGACGCCGTATATGGATATTTTCCTAGACAGCCACGCGTCACCCGAGCCTCGCCATCGACCTCCCTTTTCTCGTTATCATTTTACATGCGGGGGGGAAAAAAAAACCCGTTATACATTTCATTGCTCATTATCATTTCGCCGTTGCGTCTCGCTGCACAAGGTTCTCGTTCTCTTGCTCGCGTCTCTTAGCCGCTGCACTTATTTTCTTTTTTCCTTCGTAAAGTTCGTAATAGAATGTTTTTTTTTTAAAGCAGCAGGGATTGTAAAAGTTACTACGAAAGAGAAAAAAACGATTTTATGAAGCAGCATAATCTTACGTGTGCTATATTTTTATAGATAATTATTGTTATCGGCTTTCCTAACTTTTGAAATGACAAACGCGTGTTGTAGTTGCATTCAATACACATAAATAATCTGTAATTACTCTACAAGACAGACTAATTGTCATTGTCATTCCGTGGCTTCGGGATGAAAAATGCGTTCTATTTTCCCGTGAACTCGGCGTTCTAAACTTAAACGGCATGCTTGCTCGGTATTAATTTTAGTAGGTCTTCGCCGGCACTCACCGCGCGAGTCGCATATTTGCTTACCCGCGCGAGGAGACGAGGTACCGGAAAAACAACCAGCAGCGAAATGCCTGGTTAACGTAACGACACTGTACTCTTTCGTGCTTGCAGAATGTGTCAAGATGACATCTATCTCCTCTTTATGTGGCATCGTCGTTATCCTGCTCTGCAGTCCGATCGCGTATACATGCGGTGAGTTTCTCAGAAACGGCTGTTACGTAAATATATATAATCCTCCGATATATATAAATACTCCGAAATATACCGTGAGAAAGAGAGTAATCGTGCTTTTTGATATTCGTGATAGAGGAGGACAAGATACAGGAGTTGAGTATGTCTTTTACTCGACACCCGCAGCCTCTGGCCGCTCCGTTAAATGACGACGTGAACTTCGAGTGTAGCCTCAACATCCCCGCGGAGCGTTTCTCTTGGCACCACCGGCCCCTGGGTTCGAACAAATGGACACCGCCGTCCGATTCCTACAGCAGTGCCGGTGGCAAAACGTCGCGGCTCGTTGTCACCTTTGACAACGAGTCGAAAGCCGGAGATTATCGTTGCGTCGCGTTTTTCGGTGAGTCACCGCGAAAATTGATATTTTACATTATTTTATACAAAGGAAAGAACGATTTTGCTAAGAGGTACCTATAAAAATTTTGCTGGACAAAGATCTGAAAATAATTTTATTGGCCCACTAAAATAATTTTATTAGAAACTCATAAATGTTGACCTTCCAACAAAATTATTTTGATAGGCCAACAAAATTATTTTCAGATCTGTATCCAGCAACATTTTTAGGCCTTCCAGCAAAATCGTTCTTTTCGTGTATTTAGTCAATAATCTTATTTTATTTAATCTTCGGTTGTCACACTTGACAAAATGCTTTTTACTCTGGAAAATTGTTTTTTTAAACTTAGTTTCTTTTAAGAATTATTTGCAATATGATGCCACTTTAATTTTAAATTCTATACAATCAGAATACATTCTATAATGTTTGAACTCTATTTAAGAATTTTTGCGATTGAATTAAATTAGTTTTTAAACGGCAGCCTTTTAAAAATTGGTTTGACAAATTGATGTCAAATGATAAACTTGATTGAAAAAAAAGTGTGACAACCGAAGGTTAATTGTATTTTTTTTACTATATATAACACAAGTATCAAGACCATTATGTACTATCTACTATAATATTATAGTAGATGATTGGTTTCTATGCAATAAGAGATTTGTATGTATTCTTTCCTCGCAGGTATCAGTGGTTTAGCGTCGGATCCAGCGAGACTGACGCTCGCGACGATACAGGTATTCTCCGACAAGAGTGACGTCTACATTGAGGTGGCGGAGGGTAACACCGTGCCTATCACATGTCCCGCACCGTATTCCGAACCGGAAGCCATAGTGCAGTTTTACAAGGACGACATGCCCATCAAGGACGCGGAATTGGTGAACGGCAGGACCATGGTCATCAAGAACGTCAGAACGACGGACAGCGGATCGTACTACTGTAGCGTCAACAATTACATAACGCTGGTGACATATATGAGCAACCATAAGACCATCTTGACGGTGCACGCGAACTTGACCTTCCAACCGCCGTATCTCACCAAGCAACCGCAAACGGAGTACACGGTCCCGCGCGGCAAGAACATCACGTTGGAGTGCTTCGGCGCAGGTTACCCACCGCCGCGCGTCACCTGGAGTCGCCTGGGCGGCTCTCTGCCCTCGAAATCGGTGAAATCGCCCATCGGCTTGACGTTGGTCCACGTGCAACCGTCCGATCGCGGGGAATACGATTGCGTGTGGATCAACGACGTCCGACAAGTAAAATCGGCGATCATCTTGAGGGTGGTGGAACCGCCGAGAGTCATGAGACAGCCGAGCGCGTGTAAGTTCCACGAGGGTGGAAAATTGCAGCTGTCGTGTAACGTGACGGGCGAGCCGCAACCGATCGTCGAATGGCTTATCAACGGAGAGTCCTTGATGCCCAGCAGGACGCAGGACTTGACAGGTTCCACCACTCTTCTTATATCCGAGGTCGAGAAGAAGCACGCCGGGATCGTCCAGTGCGTCGCCAGCAACGAGTACGGATCGCATTCGGGGTACAACCTGTTGCAGGTTCAACCGAAGGAGCACGTTATCGGCGGCAAGGCCGAATCGAAGCCGGACTACGGAACCGTGCCGAGACATAACAAGCATACCAAGGGCGGCGGTAGAGGACGCAATAAGTTTAAAGAAGGAAGGAGAAAAAGTGCAGGTAGTTATTTGCTTTCGTGTTATCGTCGTTTCCTACGTTTTCTTATCATTTTATCAAACGTTTGGCTGCGATATCGCCGATTAAATTCCTGCAACACGAATTCCTTTCGTGAAAAATTTCAGAATTCATAACTTTTATTAAGCATAAAATTAGGCATAATTTTTTACGTGATTAATTTCAACGTATATTTTACGAGTTGATTAATTTGACATTCTGGTGTTTTCTAAAATTTTTTAGATTCGAATATAAAATTACACGAAGAAACTGAATAAATTTGAAAAATTATAGCACATTTTCAATTATCAAATTCATTCGATATCACTTTTATATTCAATTTTTTTGTTCAATTGCGAATATAATTCCGAATCCAATCTTTGTATTACATAATATTCAAATTAATATATTAAATACAAAGCAAGAAGATGAAACTTTTTGTGTGAGGGTCCTTGGGGTAAAACCCAGAGCTCGCGAGCATCTGAAAGTGATAGCGCGAACAAGCGAGTTGTTTTTGTCACTTTTCCTCCGAACGATAGGCCTTCTCTCTATTTACCGCCCACCATAGGCTTAATGGCATAGCCTTTGATGGACAGTTACCGCTCCGACCTTAATTAATGTACAAGCAAAAAGAATTACACTAAAGATTATATAAACATAAATACGTTGTTAAAAGTAATAATTAAAAGTCATTCTTAATTTTTTTATATTCTACATATTTTCGAACTGATTATTAAAATTTTAATCTTGTTTTTTATATTTCAATGAAAAGATTATTTTTTGTCTATTAAACTCTTCGTCCTCCTTTCAACAGCAGCGGTCTTGGTACCTCCGAATCAGCCCAACGTCACGCGACTGTCCGACGTCTCCGTCATGGTGCGGTGGTCGGTGCCGGAGAACAAGGGCCTGTCGATACAATTTTTCAAAGTCCAGTACCGAGAGATCGGCCAGAAGATGAACGGTAAACAGGCAAAGTGGATGACGGCCAACTCCGAGATACCGAATCACGTGCGATCCTTCGAAGTGACCGACTTGCAATCCGATCACACCTATCGATTCCGAATCGCCGCGGTGTACTCGAATAACGACAACAAGCTGAGCGTGAATTCCGCGCGTTTTCACCTCAATAGGGACACCGGTATCGAGAGCAATAGAATGCCGATACCCCTGTTGACGAACACCGAGGCGCTGGGACCGCATCAGGTGTTGCTGGTCTGGCAGAATCCCGACAAGTCCGTGAAAATCGACGGGTTTTACATATACCATCGGGCCTCTACCTCAGCCGGCGATTATCTGAAGACCACCGTCGAGGGGAAGGACGCCTTCAACATGACCATTTCCCACTTGCAACCCGACACCACGTACGAGTTCAAGGTCCAGAGCTTCTCCGTAGACGCGGCGTCGGAATTCTCCCAAATATTACGGCAGAAAACTAAAAAGATCGAGCATCCGGTTCAGCAAGTGGTGGCGGAGAATAAATTGAGGCCGAGCGAGGGTAACAAGAACGTCAGTATACACGTCATAATCGGCGGGGTGTTCGGAGCGTCGCTCATTCTGGTCGCTCTCGCCTTCGCGGCGAGGTTCCTGTACAAGAGAGCGAAGTACAAGCAAAGCCAGGAATCGCAGAGTGAAGGTACGTCGTTTAACGAATCGATATAAAACGCCGCTCTTGCGTGAATCTTGATTGTAAGGTAACGTCCTCTCTTTCTCAGGCAAACCGATAACAAACGGACGAGTAATGAACGGCGGAGTCACAGACTCCAAGATTAACATTACGTCCAATCCGCTTGCCGGCCTCGACACGTCCGAAGATATAATGCAGCCTAAGGTCAGTATTTGTAAGTAACAACAGTTGCACTTTTATTCCACCGGAAGAAAGTAACGGAACTGAATTCGGTCACATTCGGCGTTTGTTCGCCGCGATAATATGAGAAGGAAATGATTGACTTTTCGTTCTCAATTCTCTTCGATTCTGTGTACTCGATTTCATCGAAACGTACAGTTGCTCGATTTTGATCAGTCGTTTACTTTCCTTCCGGGAGTCAGGACGACTATAGACGAGCGCCGAAAAGTCGCGTATATAAAGATTCTGCCGCTTTAACGGATTGGAGAATATTAGCTTTTTGAATTATAAGCGAGATGTTTTTTTCTTCTCGGCAAGACTTCTACGAGGATCTCGTATTTACCTGCCGTCGACTTCCGCTCTCGTCTAATAGCGCAAATCCGACATTAAATTGCCCGATATATTAAGGAGACTAGTCTTTTCTAGTTTTAGCATTGGTCGCGCGCTGCTCTTTAATTCTACTCGCTCTCTGCACTCTCTCTGGAGCCGCTTTTCTTTTGTTTTTCCGAACGCGACACACGCACGTTACCACTTACACGCTCTAGATCTGAAAAAAGAAGCGAACGAACGAACGAACACGCATGTTTCTAAATCCAGAGCGGACAACAGTCGTCGATGGAAATGACGTCGTTTCTAAACGGCCAAAACAACAATGGCAGCAACAACGGCCATAACAACGGCGACGCAGCCGGGTCTGACGTGAACGTCACGTCACATAGCGAGCCGTCGTCCCTGCGCCAAGGGCCACTGCCTATCGAACAACGTTTGTGAGAATGATCGCAGCTATAATCTCTGTTTTATAGAACGGTAAGAACGCGACCCGACCCGACCCGCATCCTCGAAGAACGGACGATTTAACGCCGTTGATCCTACGAACCCAATTAACGAACTTAATTTCGCGGGGAGGAAACGTATGGGGTTAGTCGACACGTTATCTCATTGAGAAAACTTAACTTATAGACTGTATTTAACGTTCAGCTATTATCGCAACTGATGAGACTGTTGCAAGACATTTTACAGGGTGTCTTAAAGTAGATATGCTCAAATGTATCGCTACTGTAGATTGGGACTGATTTCGTGTGGGGAAAGATGCGCGACGTCGCAGATCTCCCGACAGATACAACGTATTATTTTTTTCTTATATAGGATTCGGTATAAGCAACTATACCGAAGTATAGTATTTGCGAGCAGACACTTCTCTCCGAGTCGTCCGGCTTATCAATTACGAAGACAGTATTTCACAACGGTTCGAAATAGTCCCACTTTATAGTGCAAGTTAGAAAGTAAAAAAAAAAAACGATCTGGTTACATCCTACGACATATATTCTCCGTCTTTCCCTTTCTTTTCGTAAGAAAAAACATTATTGAGACCCTTGTCCGTTAAGTAGATGTGAAATTCAATTAATGTACCTGCGAAGTAACTGATTTAACTGTTACATATCTACTTAACGGTCGTTGAACTAGTGAGCACTGAACAACTGTTGTTTAGTAATTTTTCTATTCCCCCCCCCCTTTTTACAGTTTTCCATCCCTTTTACATTTCCACATCACTTTCGAACAAGCGGAACTACTTTTTAAGAATTTTGTAATAAAAGCTTATGTATCTCTAAAAAATACGTAAGGATACACGATACGTATAGTTATATTAACTGTTCGCCAATGTTGAAAAGAAAGTAGTGTCATTTTACAATAGAGAGTTATTAGTAATATCTTTATATATATATATATATATATATATATATATATATATATATAAAACAATGAAGACGCGTAATGATTGAGTCATTATATATTGTTAACATTATCTTATTGGTGTGTATGCCTGTTATTTTTTATAAGTGTTTTCCTAGCTGCAACAGAGAGATCGAATATTATTATATTGTCATCCATGACCAACGCAATACTATACGTCACGATGTATATATCTGACGGTGATTTATGCATTATCAAAATTATATATGTGAAACGTTATTTGTTTGCGGTGGGGAGTTAAAAAGAGGTGATAAAATTTATATTTTGATAATTGATATTTTGCGTGAAGACAGCGGCAAAAAACAAACAAATTGTAAATATAAGTGTACAAAACTTTTTTAAATAAATTATTTAAGGCGTTTGGCTTTATGAAAATATACTGCAATTCGCAATCTGTGAGCCGGCAATGAAGCTAGTGAAAATGTCCATTGTAAATATTAGGGTAGTACTCAAACGACACGAATGAACATATGTGCCTTACATCTTGCCTGAGGATAACGATCACTCGAAAGTAAACGATTATTTATATACTTTTTGTACATGTATACCACCATTTTGTGTACTTAATTTTTTTTATAAAATAAATTATATCCAAGTGGAATGGAAAAAGTGTGAGATACGCGCGTGCCTGTGCGAAGTAGAGCTTTATCAAGCATTCCTTTTTTTTTTATTCAGCGTGACTGTACAATTATGTTTGAATATAACATGCTTGAAATATAACGATTATGTGATTAGTTAATAAACAAATCATTGACGAAATGCTATTGAAAATCCACATCCAAATGTAAGTCTCACGAAAAAAATTTATGGTTCCAATAATGGAATGTTTAATACGTATAATCTGTAATTCACATCAAAATTTAGGATGAAATTTTATTCTAAAAATTGATAAATTCAGTCATATTTTTATATGTAGAATTCTATTTGTAAAATTAATTATTTTTATGTATATACATGCTTTTATACGTGTAACATATATAGTTTATTCACACGTGTATATTCTGATTCCTCAAATATTTTTTGCGCGCTATTTGTAAAATTACAAAGATGGAATTTATTATCACGAATCATGCAAGCTCAAAATATGTATTTTAGAACTTGTCCGATCGTCCAACGCTTTTGATTTCGAAGGACCAAGCCCGCCGACACTTGCGCCTCTTCCGGACAGCTGGACAGAGGGCGCCCAGTGGTTCCGTTGCGTGCATTTAAATGTAACCGTAAACGAAACCGGTGCCGGGTCAACCGTGTGCCGGGGACTGTGTTGATGCGTGCGTGCGTGCGTGCACACGTAAATAAATAAATAAATCGGGCGAAACATCACGAAGAACGTTGACCTTCGCGTGGCTTGTGATGTTCGTGGAATTTGCCGGACCAGAGAATCGAGCGAGGTAATCACACACACAGCCGAGATCTAAAATTCACAAGCGGAAGGATCGCTGGAATAACCGCATGCCGCAACTTTCCTCCTGTTTTTCTTTTCTTTTCTCTCTCATTAGCGACCGTGCGAAACCGTGAATGCACCTGATCTCCCGAACAGCCGGCGGGACGACAAACAACGCGAGATCGGGATGTGCGATTTGATAGACCTGAACAGTCCGGACGCGAGGGGAGCGTTGAAATCGGCGAAGCTAGCGTCGCCGCTGATCCCGGCGCCGAGGAGCATCGAGCACGTCGACGGCGGCACGGGCACGACGGAGTCGGCGGCCGAGAAGCGCGAGGGCGACGGTAACAATCCGTTCGACCGGGTGTTGCACGAGACCGCCGAGTACGTCAGCAAGAAGGGCGATCCCTTCGAGGTGATGCTGCAACGGGCCCTGAGGTCCAAGAGTTGGAGGAACGCGCAGCCCGTGGGCTTCACGGACGACTTTACGCCGAAGAAGAAGAAGAGGTACTGCAAAACGATGAACAAGACGCTGGGTATGCTCGACGAGCTGTTCCTCGAAAGCAGGTTTGGCTTGTTCGACGTGGGCAAGAGGGAAGCGAGGATCAAGGCGGGAAGAGGCGTGGGTGTCGACGCGAGAGACGCCGACGTCCGTGCCGACAGCAACGCGGCGGATGATGCGTCTGCCTCTAAGCAGGAGCCTAAGATATTCGCTGCCGCTTCAGACTCGCTCGAGTTGTCTATCCTAAATCAGTCTGCGATGAACGACACGCTGCTGGACGTATTTCCCAAGTCCAAGGAGAACGGCGAGGTGTCACCTTTTCTAGAGACAGACACGTCGTTCAGAGAATTTGTCTTCCCATCAAACAGACTGCATCACTTCAAGCTGCGCTCGTTATCGCAGGGGACTGGAAAGTCACCGACAGGACCGTCGTATCTGAACAAGAGATCCCAATCCGTGACGGATGGTCGGAGGACAGTCTCGCAGAGTGACAACAGCACCGTGTCGTCCTTCCTGGACAGAGGCTTCATGGAGAGCAGACAGAGCGAACAGTCTGTATTCTCCAGTTTGTCGAACGTCTCGTCTATAACAAAATTGACGTCCGCTTCACTGTCGTCGTCGATACTGTCGAATGACGCTATCAATCACGCTTTCCTGGATGACGGCTCGTCGAGAACGAGTCGGGAGAGAACGACTGCAATTGAAAGTTCTATGGAAGTAAAGCTGAAGGAGTATGACTTAACGGACCTGGCGGAGAGACTTAACAAATTGAAATGCGCTATGAATGACACCACCAATATCTCGAGTGTAACGGAGGACTCCAGCTCCACGAAAAGGGAAGACAATAAGCGAACTACGAGTAGTAAATTGATAGACGTCGATGTATTCGTTCCAGAACCAAATAAAGAATTTAATAGAAGTTCGTCTTCCACTTGTTCTTCGGATTCTGTATTTACTGTAAGACATTTAACATTATGACTTATCGTATAGCACTCTTAGAATTATTTTATAAGAAATGTTCAATTTTTTTTTTCATTTATTTAGTGCCTCAACACTTGAACAGTTTTCACAAAATTAATTAATTTCTAAACCATTTCATATTGAAGCAAAAAATAAAAATCTGATTGCAGAATACAAATAAAGTTGATAAGTCCATACTGAAGGAGGCTAAAGTGCTTGCAAAGACTTTTGAGGAAATGGCATTAAAAACGGATTCTGGCTGTAAGTATTTTATATATTTATTATTTAACACTCGCAGAGTTAATTTAAGTTGTTAATAATTCTGGCCTTTTTCTTTCTTTATCAGCTACTACGGATGATTTGATTTCGAATAATACTTTGTGGATGTCAGAATTACTACCGGCATTTGAGGATGAACCTGTGGTAAATAATTTAATTGATTTACCTGGATCGCCAGAAGGACATTTGAAAAATATTCAAAACAGTGATAAGAAGCAATCTTCTGCAAGTATCGATAGCGCGGAAGAGTTGTTTAAGAAAATGGAGTCGTCACTTACCGATGCACCTGCTGTAAAACAAGACGTAACCTCGTTATTGTCAGATCTCAGAAAATTAGTTAAAACAGAAAGTAATCCGGAAGCTAAGAAATTACTTGATAATCTAGAAAACATTTTGGATATTAATTATAAAAATAATACGGAGCTATTAATGTCTTGTTTCAATGTGCCAAACAAGTCCTCGCGGAGTCCTCAGAAGGTATCCTCAGAGAGTATCGAAAGATTCGACAAATCAAGTGTAGATAAAAGTGAAGATACAAGCGGTAAAGCGTCGTTTCAGGAAAAGCTCTGTAATGCTGAAAAGTCGCTGTCGGACACAACTTCTAAATCGGAAGATACATCGCGAGATGCTCTCAGTATTGAGAAATCGTTTTCTTCCTGCAAAGATAATAACGAAGATCGTACGAGTACTACACATTCGTCCGACAAAGATAATCAAGTGGATAAAAAAGTGGCGATAGAACTGCTGGTGAATCTCCGAAAATTATTGAGCGGTCAAGCCGAGGACGATGTCACAATGCAACTACTTAAAAATATAGGAAAAGTATTAAATACCGCATTAAACAATGGCACTGAAAGTGAAACACGAGCGAATTGCACTGGCAGGCAAAATATTCAACAAACCACGCCCGTAAGAAAACCTCCGGAATCCGCTCGCGATGTACATTCGTCCGCACTGTCGACAAAAGTGGCGCAAAGACGAAGCTTGGAGCCGAAATCTAAAGTAAGTAACTCTTTACTACCCTCAATAATGATTTTAATTAAATAATTTATTTATGCGTCGCTGTATTTTTTTTTGCGTTTCGAGAAGACGGTTAGAAGAAGTGTATCCGCAGTCGAGTCATCGCCCAAGAACACGTCGAGCACGCAAATACGCAGACGTAGATCGAATGTATCCGAATCGGAGAATCATCAGAAGCGTCTTTCAGGCAATCCTGGATTTATTAACAATTTGAATTCAAATAAAAAACTTGCGATGCCAGAAGCGCGCAACACAAGAAAAGGTATATCTATATACATTCCACGCATTATTATTAAACGATCATTTGTTTGATTGACATAGATAATCGAATTACATGTTGCAACACTTTTCAGCGGAAGCTGCAAAACCTGATAGCAAGAAGGAGAACTCCATTGCTGTAAGTGCTCCAGTGCTGAGTGACGTTAAAAACAAGCTGAAGAAAAGATCGGATGTAGTCAATAAAAGAGGTCCTGTGAAAGCAGTGCATCCTGTGGATAACATGAAAAAACGAGGTAAGAGTACTCCCTCTTCTAAATCTGTTGAGAGAACTCGAGCAAATTTGATTAACTAATCGACATCATTCCCGAATTCATATTAAATGTAGAAGTAATTTATAATTTAAAAGACAAGAGAATTGATGATTTTTTAAATAATTTAACAACTAAGAGTTAATTTTTTATTAACTGATAATCTACAAATTTCTCTACAACAATGTAGCGTCACTCGGGAGACAGACGCAGTCTTCTCGGGTCACTACGCCGCCAAAATCCAGCAAGGCTACCTCATCGGGTAGTAAAATAATCAGCAGCACTCCCAATTCGACGGACAATTGTTACATGCCTAAGAAACCCACGAAATCCAAACCGATAGCCTCGTCAACGCCGGACCAAAACAGCGCGGGCGTACCGTTGGCGTCCGCTAATAAAAAACGTAACTTTTCCTGCGACATCTCGCCGGTGACAACGTATGCAAACATGAGCGGCAGCGACGAGCGGAAGGAGAGTCCTCCCAAAAGGTGAGAGCGAACCGATTTCAAGCAATCGTCCCCTCTCGCCTGTCTCGTTTATCAAACGCGAAAGGAAGGGGAAGAAACCTGCGGGACGACGATCCGGACTCTACCCGGTTATGTTTCAGAATGTCCAAGCTGCCGACGCCGAAGAAGTGCACCACACCTACGCGTCAGCGATCGGACGGTATTCCGAGGTTCCTGACGCCGCCGAGGCACTATTCGTCGAGTACGAATAATCCGCAGTCACCGCAGCGCTTGAACAGGAGCCTAATCAATTTCCAGCGGTACTCCCCCTTGAGCGAGAAGCAGAGTGTCGAGAAGGTACCGCGGCAGAGTCCGCTGAAGGAGGCCAACCGAATCACTGCGAAGGTCAAGCCGCTTAACCTGGTACGTCTGTGACGTCGCGTGTCGAGTCGCCATCGAGGACCAACTCCGTTTTTTTTATCATTTATGTCGCAGATTTCCAAAATCAAGCGACACAGCCAAGGCGACTTCGGCGAGAAGGAGAATTACGTATGAGAATTGAGCGAGAGAGAGAGAAAAAGAGAGAGAGAAGCAGCTCGAGAAACGACCGTGCCGCTTGTGATATCGATCGTGCATCGGAGATTGCCTCGTATAGAAATCATAGTAAGATAATGCGGTTTTTCGTTTTATTTTGTGATACCTATAATATTTGTACGTTTTTATAATAAAAGATGCGGCGAGAAAGTATTGTGCGATTCGACCGTTCGCGAGTCCCGAAAGGTAATCTCGTTACTGTGTTCCAAACGTGTGTATTCTCGAATTTATTTATGCGACTTGCCGGTTCAAATTAATTTACAATGATAATGCGACAATGAGATCTCAGTTATGTGAAAGAGTCAATTGAGAGATTTAGAAAGAGACGAATTATATAACGAAGGTTCAGGATCTAATTCCGATAATTTTGAAAAAAATCTTGATTTTGTATCTTAAAAATTTATTGTCCCTCCCTCTTCCTGGTGTGTATGTTAAAAAATTTGTTGGTAAACCTTCGCGACGGGGATCCAGCATGAATGCGCTCTTTGTTAATGAAAAACTTTATTACGCGTCTTGATTGCGCGCGGCGTGGAAAAAAAATGTTGATATCCGTTCGCTCGGAGAGTCCGTGTGATTAAAATTTAAAATCGAGGCTGCGGCCGCAGCCGTGCGATTCTTCCACGCGTGCGCCACGGCTCGTCTTCCTCGCCTCCGCCGCCTCCTGCAGCCCCTGCAAACGCATCGTGCGTGCGCGCGCACAGAGTGGATCACGTGACCGCGCTTCGGCCGAAACAGGCCGAAGGCAAATGGAAGCAGGTTGTATCACAAGATTCGGCTTCGCGGGCGTCATCGTCGCTCAACGACTCGGCTCGCACCGCCATCGCCGTGCCTTTCCCTGAAAATTTTCCCTGTCGCGGAAAACTTGGGTGAGTTGATATCGAATAATTGACTTCCGAACATTACCGTCTTACCTTCGACTTTCACATTTCGCTCTCAATTCGCCGTAATTCGAGTGGCCGCGCTGAGACGAGAGATCCTTTTCGGCAACGATCCCGGATTGATTCTCCGAATTTCGATCAGCACGAACGACGATTGACTTATCGCATAACGCTCGCGGATATTTCGCTAACGCGGATGGGATTATTAATCTTTCGCGCGGGCAGAAGCTGCATGTTGCTGTCTGGCAGAATTCTATCAATTGTGCTGACCGTCGATCAAGTTGATCGAAACTCCGATCAAAGTCGCGCATCTATAGAGACAATTGCGTTGCTCGCGTGCACTCTTTCGCCAAGAAACGGCAAGCGTTCCGTCTTTTGTTTTGAATCGAGTCTCTTTATTTCATCGGATTTCATTGTACCGCGACGTGCGCGGCAACTTATTTCGACGCGGTTAGGCACGAGCAGGCACGACCGCATGCATGCGAGCCCGCCTGTGCTGCACGGGGCGATGCCTTAAGCCCAGTATCGGTGCTGGCCGATTGTCAACGGTTTTCGGAAATTGGTGAAAATTACACAAAAGTGAGCTGGCGAATTTACTGCAGCATTTATAATTTCGTTGGCCGCTAACCCGTAGTCAATTTGCTCACTTTTGTATAATTTTCACCAATTTCCGAGAACCCTAATATAAGCCCCTACAAGTCGGGTCCATATTTCACTCGATCGCCAAGCTCGCCAAGTCGACTTGCCGCGTGATTGGCAGAAATGGAATCGCGCGGCAACCAGCTGTATGCAGTCTCCTGCAATACGGGCTTAAAGGATACGATTTCTCATACATACTGACGCTCGACGCTCATTTTTAGCGTCAAAACAGACATTTTCAGCATCAAAATTGACGCTTGGTTAGTCCACTGTCGATCACATCTGAATTTTGACGCTGAAAATGAGCGTCGAGCG